CGTCATATTATTAATTAACGTATTATCATTGTATCGTCAAGAGTCAAGAGAATTTAACTGGTTAAAATTCCGAAGTCTGACCCACACCCAGCACACCCGGCCTAGAAAGTCTATTATCCCAGCCCATTCCAGACTCCAGTGATGGCATGGCGGCTCGTGAAAGCCACCGGCCACGTACAACATGATCATCATCGCTCCATGGCCGGTGCAATACCCCCCCCCCCCCCATATAATGTTCAGCAGAAAAAGATTTTTTAGACGAATTTATGGTGGCTGATAGTGGCCATGTTAAATCTCGCCCTTTTCATAACGCGACAACACGACATCACGACAGTATTGACGCAATCATACGACACTTCATTCTGTCGTATCATCGTGTTATTTTTATCGTAACGTCGAGATGTCGACTTATTGTCCTAGTCTCTTTCTACAAGTCACAAAAATACAGCTGTACTCATTACATCATATATAGGCCTAAGTAGCAGATTTGATAAATATAAAAGAGATAGTAGGAAAACGTTGATTAATTATTTGTTTTCTCAAAATAATGAAACATTTTGTGCCCACAAGTGAATTATATTTGGTATTATATTAAAAAATCTAGAATTACAATAGCAGGACCAAAGTGAGTTAGCTAAGTTAATTCCTTGAAGAAAAAGTGGTGTCGGGAGGTATCGAACAAGTAAGCATTCATTGCCATGTGTACGACACCCACCAATATTTATAGATGACTGGAGCGATAGTTTAAAAGTGATATCAGAAGACAGGGTGGGAAGGTGATTGTAGAAAAACCAAATCGGGCCACATTCTTTAAAATCACAGCATTATTTTTATCATAGTGCAGCACGTCACCCCAATAGTTGCAGGAGTTTTTTTGAATGAGATGGAGAAAACGATTCGCAGCCTGTCATTGAGTCAACTGGCGTGGTTTCGAATCCCCGGTTGTACGTGACAAGGAGCAGGGTCGCCGGTCCAACCTCGTGGGTTTTCTCCGGGTCCTCCGGTTTCCTCCCACTGCTAAAGACCCTTACGCGCAAACGATTTATTGAAATAAAATTAAACCATGTTAGTCCCGAAATGACCTAATTTGTGTCGAGTGGACGTTAAACCCCATTTCTCTCTCTCCCTCTCTCTCTTCCGTTTGAAATCACTAATGGGATTGAGGCCTAGATGAGTAAAAATAGGCCCAGTAATATCTTCAACTATGAACACACTCTAAAAGCCTCATACCCCCCCCCCCCCACGTCACCCCAATAGATGCAGGAGGTTTTTTTATGAGGTGGAGAAAACGATTCGCAGCCGTTATTGACCTTATCGCATATAGGCTTGCATCCGTTTGACATCACTAATGGGATTGAGGCCTGGATGAGTAAAAATAGGCCCAGTAATATCTTCAACTATGAATACACTCTAAAAGCCTCATACCCCCCACCCCCACGTCTCTTATTTAGTTTTACAAATAATTCCAGAATCAATAAAATGGTATCAATGATGTTTGATACAACTGGAAAATAATATGTCAAAAATTGATTAAACAACATGAGAAATATTACATATTGAATCCATATTAGTGATAACGTACATTTACTCAATACGTTCTTTCCAATAGATCATCATTTAACTTGAAACAAGGGAAACAGTCGATCGAAGAAAACAGATTTTTAAAAAAAAAAAAAAACAGGTTTCAATGTGACAGTAGTGCTTCGGTCATGCATTTACCTCCGAGAGTGCCATCCTTTCTTTGAAAGTAATGATTGTGCCAAATTTGAACAAATTCCATCTAGATTCGCGGCCTGTAGGTAGAGTGTTGACAGATCAAATGTAAAAATAAAAACAAAAACAAAAACCCCAGACCTATAAAAATATATTTTCTTAAACTCTTTTAACTTTGAAATTATATTGTTTTCACATGTGCTAAGTGTTTTAGCGAATATTTATAGAAGGGTCTTGTAGATAAAGACTATAGCGCATGTGCAGTTTTAAACTTCCGAGACGACAAGTCGATGATACGACAGTTTAGTGTTTTGTCGTACCGTCGTATCATCGACTTGTCGTGGCGATAAGTCGATGATACGACAGCACGACAAAATAAGGTCGATGATACGACAAAATCAGACGATCTTACGACAAGTCGATGATACGACGGCACGACAAGAAGCGAAACTGTCGTATCATCGACTTGTCGACTTGTCGTCTCGGAAGTTTAAAACTGCACAGTGCACATGCGCTATAGTCTTAATCTACAAGACCCTTTCTATAACTATTCACTAAAACACTTAGCACATGTGAAAATAATATAATTTCAAAATTAAAATAGTTTTAGAAAATATATTTTTATAGGTCTGCTTTTTTTTTACGTTTTATCTGTCAACACTTTACCTACAGGCCGCGAATCTAGATGGACTTTGTTCAAATCTGGCACAATCATTACTTTCAAAGAAAGGATGACACCCACAGATGTAAATGCATGACCGAACCACTACTATCATATTGAAACTTGTTTTTTAAAATCTTTTTTTCTTCGATCGGCTGCTTCCCTTGTTTTCAAGTTAAATGGTGATCCATTGGAAGGAACATTTTGAGTGTCATTGATACGGATTCAAAATGTAATATTTACTACCCTAAATGTATCATTGATACGGATTCAAAATGTAATATTTACTACCCTATGTTGTTTAATCAATTTTAGACACATTAATTTCCAGTCGTGTCAAACATCATTGATAGGGACCTACCATTTTATTGATTCCGAAATTATTTGTTAAACAAAATAAGAGGGGGGGGGGGTGCGTAGGGGACTTTCGGAGTGTGTTCATAGCTGAAGGCAATACTGGGCCTATTTTTAATCATCTAGGCCCCGATCCCATTAGTGATGCCAAACGGATGAATATGCGATAAGGTCAATAACAGCTGCAAATCGCTTTCTTCACCTCATAAAAAACCTCCCCTGCACTTATTGGGATGGCGTGCTACACCAATGCGGTGATTTTATGTGGTCTGATTTGAGGTTTTATATAATCCCCTTCCCACTCTAATAAAATAAATTGGAAATCTTCTGAAATCGCTTCTAAACTATCGCTTCAGTAATCTATAAGTATTGGTGGGTGTCGTACACGAGGCAATGCATACTTGTTCGATACCTACCGACACCACTTCTTATTCAAGGAATTAACATAGCTGACTCACTTTTGTCCTGCTATTATAATTCTAGATTTTTTGAATATAATACCAAATATAATTCAATTTTGGGCGCAAAATGTTTCATTTTTTTTTAGAAAACGAATCAACGTTTTCCTATTATCTCTTTTGACGAGTCTTATTTATATGTATCTATTTATATGTATCTGATGTAATGAGTACAGCTGTATTTTTGTGACTTGTAGAAAGAGACTAGGACAATAAGTCGACATCTCGACGTTACGATAAAAATAACACGATGATACGACAGAGTTAAGTGTCGTATGATTGCGTCAATACTGTCGTGATGTCGTGTTGTCGCGCTATGAAAAGGGCGAGATTTAACATGGCCACTATCAGCCACCTTACGAATTGGACAAAATTATTTTTTTCATTTTTTGTCCGAGCGGCCCTTCGGGCGATCGCCCGATGACCAAATCCGCCCCTGACCAAGGCTATTGGCTGCCTAAGTCAAAATCAAAAGGCCACCAAGGCTATTGGCTACCTGAGCCAAAATCAAAATCAATATACCACCAAGGTATTTTCAAGTAAAAATAAAATCTATTACCGTTTAATGAAACAAGTATATTATCATACACTGGGAATGTTGTAAAAAACACTGTACAGCTAGGGTTGCCTCTTCCTCAACATGATCACCCTTCAGAGGAGAACTGTTTATAAATATTTATACTATAAAAATGTATTTATTTATGTATTTACTATGTTGAAGTGTCACAGACTATACTTTAAATCCCCCTTTGTTGGTTAATTAGTCATGGCCTGGTGGACCTAGACTCACTTTCCCCACTAGAGGAGAACTGTTTATAAATATTTACACTATTCTGCATACGAGGGGCGGCCATTTTGTCTGGCTGTTTTGGTCCGATTTTTCTTGAAAATTCGAACTCATCCATCATCAGGGTGTAGCGATGATATATTTACATGATTTTTTAAATCGGATAAAAATTATGACCTCTAGAGGGTCCACAACCTAAAAATCTGATTTTTCGTACAGGATCTTCGGGTTATAAACATATTTCAATTTTCATCAAAATCGGATCAAAATTGTGACCTCTAGAGGGTACACAACCTTGATATACCACATGTTTACACTATTTGCATATCAGAGGCGGCCATTTTGTCTGGCAGTTTTGGTCCGATTTTCACGAAATTCGAAGTAAACCAACATTACAGTGTAACGGTGATATATTCGAACGTTTTTTTTATATCGGATAATAATTGTGACCACAAGCTAAAAATGAAATCTTTCGTACAATCAGGAACCAAGATCTTTGTGTTATAAACATGCATTCCAAGTTCCATCAACATCAGATGAAAATTTTGACCTCTAGAGTGTCCACAAGCTAAAAATGTGATTTTTCGTACAATGAGGGGCCATAATCCATGAAGTTATGGACCGATACATGCTAATATCGAAAGGAACCGAGATCTTTGGGTGATAGACCTATATTTCATGCAAGTTTCGTCAAAATTGGATATAAATTGTGACCTGTAGAATGTCCACAAATTGTGGAGGGACAGACGTCCGCATGGACTGGGGCAACGACAATACAAGTCAACATGAAAATGTGATTGTATAAAACCTTTTTTTTTTCTCTGCTTCTTAACAATCCCAAGCACCAGAATTGATCTCTTACTTATGATTTGTAAGTTCTCAATTACCTGTAAAGCCCGACATAAGTTGAGAGTTATAATATGTGACACTTTTGCCAATTTCGTAACAATGACAGGTAAGATTTGAACATGCCAAATTGTTTCTTGTTTCAGTCCATTTTTAACTGATTCCGCATTATTATTAGTCCACAAGTCTGATATGTTTATTTTGCAGAGGCTGAATTACATGTAATACTAGACTAATATAATACTAATTTTTCTACCTAATATTTATCCCAATAAGGAAGGATACCTATCAAAGTAAAATCGGAGATCATCTTTTTTTCAGTTAAAAATCATTATTATGTTTAGAATATACAATCCCATCCCTACCAAGATATTAAATTGCTCATGATAAGATGATCTTTTTGATGTATGATTGACTTTTCTTTTCTACATATCTGCCTACTTTTCATCAAGATCATTTGCCTATACATGTACAAGACAAGCATTTCATCAAATTCAGATAATTGTTTCTTAATATGTCTTGTTTTTAATTTGTTAATACTGTCTAACCTATATTACATTGGTTTATTTGGTGATTCAAAAGTTTGAACTTCATGTATAACTTCTGGTTTGGGGGAATCTGTACATTATTTATTCTCAAATGTTACATACATTATACATACTTCATTATTTAACTTTCTATATAAAACACAGCACTATTCATATTTTATATCTATTTACACTGGATACAAATCCAGCAATTTATGTACAAAGTAATACTTATACAAATATTAAAACCACAACAATATTAATATTCATATCAACTCTATCAGTGTGGCATTATTATTTCTAACAATTTTTATATACAATTCTGAAGACAAGATTCTAGGCATTGACCTAATAGATGCACACATTTAAACATTCTTCTCTCTCTGATTCATAGATTAACAATAAAAATAATATTCAGATAAGAACACATAGGACCTATCTTTTCTCATGTCACAATTACATAAGAGTAATCTGTTTCAAATATTTTACCCTACAGCCAGTGTTCATATATAACCATCTTTCAGCCTCACTGCCAACATTTGAAAATGAAACTAATTTTAATAAATAAGCCGCCTTCTGCATAATTTCTTGATATATAAGTCTAATTGTTAAGAGCTTGCTTCATCACTAATCGATATAACACATTGGATAAACCTACCGGTACTTCACTACTTTAATTTGTCCTTAATCACAAAGATATTCTTTAATTAACTTTTTAATTTAATTATCAGCTGTGAATGCTTGAAGTCCTGTGATAGCCCGACCTAATATCAATGCATGTATATCATGAGTACCTGAAATAAACAGATCTAATTAGGTAGGTCTTTTTTAAAACTTCAGATTTTGTATTTAAAAACTTCAGATTGTAATTTAAAACTTCTTGCTTTGATAGTTTATTTTCAGGGGATTAACTTTCTCAATAACAATTATGTCAAGAAATAATTACCTTCATAAGTATTAACAGCTTCGAGATTCATCACATGACGTATTATGTGGTATTCATCAGATATACCATTTCCTCCCAACATATCTCTAGCAAGACGAGCTATTTCTAATGATTTTCCACAAGAGTTTCGTTTTATAAGGGAAATCATTTCTGGTGCTGCCCTAGAATTAAACCAAATATTAGATAAAAGAAGCAAGATGAAGGAAACCTATAGTCTACACACTACACCGACATTTCGGCCACAGAGGTTAAATATGTGCTAACTGGAGCTAACTGGATAGGGTGAGCCAGTGAGGGTTGAAAAAAAACCTGTTGCTGAATTGTTGCACATTCAGTACATACTGTGGATTACAAATCACAATTACACTCTACTCTTAAACTACAAATTATAGATATTTACCAGTATTAGAAGTTATATTTACCTCAAACAATATAGTTTTGGGGAATTTAGGTATATATTATTGGCTTCATTTGTTTGATTTTGTGGCTCATTTTTCTAAAGCAGTAAACTTATTAAAGTAGTTTTAGAAGTTGAAACAAATTTTATTATGTTGTATGTGAAGTAATATAAATGCCAAAAGGCCCAAATCTGATAAATAATGAATAAACATTTGGAATATGAGTGAAAATAAAATACTGAGTACATGTATATAAAATGATAACTCAATTTAGGCTATTTCTGTCATTCAAATTAAATTAAACAATTTTACCAAAAGAACTTAATTATATAAATATTTGGTCCAAAAAGTATTTAAATTCTAAAATTAATTGCCCATTGTTAAAGTTGCATTTAAACAAGCGAAATACATTATTTATACTTACTTCCCTTCATCCTTTAATCGACCAACTTGTATACAAGATTGTAACCCTAGTGATATTTCAGTTAACATATCTGCCATCTTCTTCTGTAATAGTTGATTTTTGGCTAAAGGACGACCAAATTGTTTTCTATAAAGCACAAAGAATGGACACAATATATCGTTATTGATACTAACAAAATGCTAAACTCTTTCTTATAGTAATATTATTTCTATATCATTTGCTCTTCACATTTAAAAGTTCGTAATTACTGAAAGAGAACAACTATTACTAACCTATCAAGTAAATACTGTCTGGCTGTATCAAGACAAAACTCTGCCGCACCAAGACTACCCCAAGCAATACCGTAACGAGCATTGTTAAGACAACCAAATGGTCCCTGAAATGATTATTATCACATATTTTATTTGTTTGTTGCAAATCATGGCCCTCAATTCAAAATTTTGTCAGTCAATTTTTCACGTATTTATCTCAGATCAGTAAGTCATTTTCTTCAAAGAATTTGACAACTTTTAGCATAATCTCCATTTAGAAATAAATTTTAATGGTAAAAATGAGAACCCTTTTTATACCAAGGATACAAATAAATTTAATGTCCTTTTTGGTGATGACAAGCTATGGTTACACAAAGATTTATATATCATGAAAAACAAACATACAAAAATTGAACATAACACATAAAGATGTATAGATTTTGTTTCAATAAAAACATTTTTGAACATGTATATAACCACATAAAATTGTGACACAGAACTATCTCCATTTACTGTCTTATTTAGTTGAATTACATAAAACAAACACTCTCCACACCCAACATTTATTCTGATGACACCTTACCCTTGTCTTTTCGGTCTGCCAAATACAATTCATTAAGGCATCATAAGTTTTGTGAATATCTGCAGCAATAACAAATTTACTGTCTTATTTAGTTGAATGATATAAAACCAACACTCTCCACACCCAACATTTATTCTAATGACACCTTACCCTTGTCTTTTCGGTCAGCGTAATACAATTCATTAAGGGATCATAAGTTTTGTGAATATCTGCAGCAATAACAAATTATGAAAAATCTAAGTTTTCTTATATCAATTATACTTGTATTACTATGCTTACCCCTAACCCAGTAGCATTTGGTAAGAGATTTTCCTCCGGAACTTCCACATCTTCCATGACAATTTGTCCTGTAATACTGGCACGTAGTGAGAATTTACCCTCAATCTTTGGTGCTGATAAACCTTTCATCCCTTTTTCTAAAATAAACCCTCTGATCCTATTCTTATCTACATCTAGTTTACCCCATACTATAAACACATCAGCGATTGGAGAATTTGTGATCCTGAAAGTTAAAACAAACAAGATGACTAGTCATCACCATCCTGTGCCCTTCCACTTGTTTGTTTGGAAGACATAAGGAACCAGCAGCTGGCAGGCAGGATACACCCACATTTTGCAAGAGATGGATAGAGAACAAGCTAAACAAAAAGTGATTTTTCGTACAATCAAGGGCCATAATCCAAAAGTTACGATCCGATATGCGCGAATATTGACAGGAACCAAGATCTTTGGGTTATAAAGCTATATTTCAAGTTTCGTCAAAATCTGATCAAAATTGTGTCTTCTAGAGGGTCCACAACCTTGATATACCATATGAAGAGCCCAGGGGAAGAACAATCTAAGTCACTTTTTTGTCTTTTCGCATAAAAGGCAAAACAGACTTTAGGACGAGAATGTTTGACGCGAACAGAACGAGTGGGATTAATTAATTACTTCAAAATGATGTTTAATACAAATCATAATTACCAGTACAACAACTGACTTCCTTTTTTCAGCCATATTAAGGTCAAATAAAGGGTACAATGGACTTGTATTTGTCCGGGAGGCCATTTCAGAAGGGCCTTAGTTCAATGCAACTTCGATTGTTTTTACCTGAAATTGATTGTTCCACAGAAAGCTTATACAATTTGCTACCAGATGGGGCCATTAACTGGGGTTCGTTGGAAAAGTGACTTAGATCGTTCTTCCCCGGGGCTCTTCATATATTTACACTATTTGCTTATACAATTTGCTACCAGATGGGGCCATTAACTGGGGTTCGTTGGAAAAGTGACTTAGATCGTTCTTCCCCGGGGCTCTTCATATATTTACACTATTTGCGTACGAGGAGTGGCCATTTTGTCCGGCAGTTTTGGTCCGATTTTCACGAAATTCGAATTCAACCATCATTAGGGTGTAACAGTGATATATTCATATGTTTTTTTAAATCAGATAAAAATTGTGCCTCTAGAGGGACCACTAGCTAAAAATGCGATTTTTTGTACAATCAAGGGATATAATTCAGGAAGTTATGATCTGATATGCGTGAATATCGAAAGGAACCAAGATCTTTGGGTTATAAACATGTATTTCAAGTTTCATCAAAATCGGATCAAAATTGTGGACTCTAGAGGGTCCACAACCTTGATATACCATATATTTACACTATTTGCGTAAGAGGGGCGGCCATTTTATCCGTTTATCCGGCAGTTTTGGTCTGATTTTCACGAAATTCGAACTCAAGCGTCTTTACAGTGTAATGGTGATATATTCAAATGTTTTTTTTTAAATCAGATAATAATTGTGATCTCTAGAGTAACCACAAGCTAAAAACATGATTTTTCGTACAATCAGGGGGAATAATACAGGAAGTTACGATCCGACATGCGCAAATATCGAAAGGAACCATGCATTTCAAGTCACAAGCTAAAAACGTGATTTTTCGTACAATCAGGGGCATAATCCATGAAGTTATGGTCCGATGTATGCCATACATATTCTGCCAACTTCTTTTTTCATCGTTTAATTGCAGACTCTGTTGTACATTTAAACCCCTCAATATTCCCAAAACCGCCTAACCATTCGACCAAGAAATAACAAGCACGCCCTGATTAAAGGTGGCAGACAATAAGCTGTTGGGCCTGACAAGGACAGCTGTCTAGTCATTCCAATGGGATGAAAAACTGAGGTCCTTTGTACACATTGGCATGCACATAAAAGATCCCTTGACAGTTGGAATTTGATATAAGAGTAGGCCGTAGCGCCACTGTCCGGGGCAAAATTTCCCTCATATAGCATACTACGTGGCGTAAGCTTGTCTTCATTAGCCCAGTTGGAGCAGAACAGTAGGACATTAAACCTCATTCCATTTCATTTATTTCTGGCTCTCATTAATTTCTGGTTCTCATTATGCCATTAATTAGTAACTCAAACAACAAAACTCAAAAAATAGAGAGTAATTTACTCACTGTATCTTACACTAAAAAAAAAAGATAGCAACCAAACATGCTGTTTATCAATGATTGATGATGGGTGTTGGAGAATGAATTTCTTACATTACAATTTAAATTAGTCTTACCAAGACTTGGAGCCATTTAATATATATGATTTTTTACTACTATCATATTTGGCATTAGTTTCCATTGAACCTGGATCACTGCCATGATTTGGTTCTGTTAATCCAAAACATCCAATAGATTCCCCCGTTGCTACAAAAATACATAAGCTTAGGCTTAATATAAACAGAAATTATTAATTTGACATTAAACAGGCATTATGTAAGAGCTAAATTTGGCTATTGCAGGTCTTTCTTTGGGCCTCCGATGTTAAGTAGATTAGAATGGTTTGGACATTAATGATTTAATTTCAAAATGGAGAAGTGAGGCTAAGACTCGAATGACCAGTACGATAGTTAAGATCAATGCGCACATCTTGTCAAAACTACAACCACTGATAACTTTGCTCAAGATATAGTAATTTTAAGGAAATTTTCAATATACTAATTTTGCATTATCTATTTTTGAAATATTATAGTGAGAACTGTCAGCTCTTTATCTAATCTTACATAATGCCCCTTTAAATTTAAAATATATCTCTACTAACATACAATATATTCTGAATGATTTAAATTCAAACCTAGTGAATACATATAAAGATAAAACAAGAACATGTAGATCTATCTGGACACAAATTCCATGCAGACACATCCTCATCTAAACCCGATTGAACATGAAAAGCAGGATAGTGTACAAATCAATGACTAGTATACAAACTTAACAGCTTGTGACAAGGAGCCTGCAAGGGCTACTGGTACATGTACATTGTTACTGTTATAGTATATTTCAATAAGCTACAAATATTTTTCTTGCCTAGTTTAGGAATATATTTTTGTCGTTGTTCTTCATTTCCATAAGCATAAATTGGCCACATTACAAGACTGGATTGAACACTCATAGCTGATCTGTAACTACTGTCAACTCTGTAACAAAATGAGGATATATTTTTATATTAAAGCAGCTGTTCATCATTTGAGGGATTTTCAATCTCTTGCTAACTACAATATTGTGAAAGTTCAATTTCTAGCCATAAAAATAATGAATATTTGACCTAAATAGACATACCTTTCCAACTCCCTTGTAATAAGACCATAACCAACGGATGACAGTCCAGCACATCCATAACCTTTAATAGTTGGTCCAAGAACACCAAGTTCTCCCATTTCACGCATGATAGCTGAATCAAAATCTATAAAACAATGTAAACTAGACTGCTTCTGCTTCTGCTTATCCCTAGGAAATTAGAATAGACATCAAAATTCAGACTGTAAAGTTGATAACAGTCCATAGTAAACAATCATGGCTGTCTCCAACAACAGTTTCACACTGAACATTGACGTCTATCTATCTACATGTATGATGTAAGAAGGAATTCCCTTGAGTCTAAGATGCGATTACTTTTTTTGACAGTGAAAGACTATCATTTTTAAATGTATAAAATGATTTTGAGAGCGTCGGAGTAGTGCACTGAAGTAAATATTTTCTTTTTACATCCGAATTGATATATTTTAAAACTTGTGGACATTTTGAAAGAATTTACCTTGTTTGAAGGTAAATAATGAACAAAGATTTAAAAATACTTTGGGTAGATCATTTTTAAAGTTTTTGGTGTCGAAATGTTGTTTATGACCTCTAATTTTGATATAGGGGAGGGATTATCAATATCGCTTTTAGCATGTATTTATATAATTTCGAAGAAAATTTATCCCTTTTTGCCGTTTCCATGGATACCAGACAAACCACAGTCTATAGCCAAAAACTTCACTTTTTGGACTTGCATTTCGCATTGTTCATGCCAAACTTGATGAAAATCCATGCAGGCATAACTGAGAAAATTCGATTTTTATTGTCATCACTATTATCATGCTTTTGGGCCAAGTTTGGAACATAGTTGGTAAACAACATTGGTACTTTTTGGGTGATTAATATGTAGTTTATCACCCCAAATACTTTTTTCGGTAATTAAACATTTATAATACACTAACATCTAAAATCTGATTAAGAGTAATATAACTCATTAAGTAATTATCAGAAAATCATTAGAATTTGTTTGGTTTTTATAAAGTTCTTCCCCATGCTAACATTTAGTATACGAAACATTTAATATCATGGATTTAGCTGTTCAAGTTATCAAAATTCATTGAAAATCAATATACTTGTTCGTCTCAAGACCTTAAACTCTGTGTATCAATCTGAAGTCAATCGGATGATAACTTTAGCCTCTAGAGCGTCCACAAGATATTTTGAAGTGATCAAGGGACATAACTCTAGCAGAAATTATCGGAAATCGCTGAAAATCAATAGGATTCTTCGTCTCATGTATAAATTTAAAGTCAAACGGATATTAACTTTAGCCTCTAGAGCTTCCACAATATTTTTTGAAGTGATCAAGGGCCATAACTCTGGCAGTAATTATCGGAAATCGCTGAAAATCAATAGGCTTCTTTGCCTCATGACCTTAAACACTATGTATAAATATTTAAAGTCAATCAGATATTAACTTTAGCCTCAAGAGCGTCCACAAGATTTTTTTGAAGTGATAAAGGGCCATAACTCTGGCAGTAATTATCGGAAATTGCTGAAAATCAATAGGCTTCTTCGTCCCATGACCTTAAACTCTGTGTATAAATTTAACTTTAGCCACTAGAGCGTCCAACAGCAATTGTGGACGTCGGACTGCCAGACGGATGGGGGCTACGACAATATACAACCACATATCTTATAAACAAAACTTACAGTGCTAGCTTTAAAATGTGCATTTTAGAGTATTCAACGCTCGTAAGTATAAAGTTATAAATTGTATATTGTTGAATATTTTAGATTGTATATCATAATATTGATTTATATATAATATAATATGTAAAATTTCATAAATTAATCCAAAATAGAATAGACTGACTATTTCTGAGGGGTTTTCTTGAATACACTGAATATTTCATATTTACACTCTCACTAATAGTAGTTTTTACTCTTTAAAATATTTATTTTTTGTCACCATGTCTGATTAACTTACTTTCATGTCTATTGGCCATCAGTATTCTAGGCATAAGTTTATCACTGCAATAACTACGAAACTGGTCACGAACCATAATTTCTTCATTTGTCAACTGACTTTCAAGATTTAGAGCATCACGCCAATCAAATGATGCTGAAAAGAAAAAAAAAATGAATTATGAAGCTTACATGTTCTCATAATTTATATAATATCAACTTTACAGCACTAACAATGGCACCTCAGATATAATCTAAGTATATTGGAGTATTCTCTTGTATTATAGCTACATAGTATGCCAATTGAATAATTCCCAAAATAGTAATAATCGTAAAAAAATAGTGATTTCTTTGACAAATATAAAAAAAGGGAAAACTAACAATTTAAGCAGATGACTGACCTAAAAAGTTTTCAGAGGACCATATAGTTGGTAGTATTTGTTTTGACTCCATAAAGACAAGAAGGTGTTCGTTTTTATAAATTAATAATAATATTGCTACTTTAAAGATTAAGTAATTTGTTTAATACATACCATACTTTGATGTACTGTCTACATCTTTATCTAAGTTATTTTGTTAATGAAAAACAAAACAAGTGGTTGCCATGCAAGATACTCCCACATCTTGCAAGAGATGAATAGAGAACAAGCTAGGAAAAAAGGGACTTTTCGTACAATCAGGAGCCATAATCCAGGATCAGGAAGTTACAATCCGATATGCGCTAATATCGAAAGATATCTAGATCTTTGGAATATAAACATATATTTTACGTTTCATCAAAATTGGATAAAAATTGTGACCTGTAGAGTATCCACAAGCTAAAAATATGATTTTTTGTAAAATCAGGGGTCATAGACATAATGCATGACGTTAAGGTTCAATACATGCCAATATGGAAAGGCACCAAGATTGTTGGGATATCAACGAATATAGTAAATTTGCTCAAATTGTGACATGTAGAGTGTCCACAAACTAAATGTAAACAGATGTCCAGATGGACAGGGAAGACGACAACAGATGTCCAGATGGACAGGGAAGACGACAACATATGGCCCATCCTCGGTTACCCAGTGTACTCATTCCGTTCTACTCCACTATACCCTGGGTTAATCCATAGGGTTTCCACGATTTCAAATTATCTGCCCTGGCCTAGAATGTAGCTACAGTCTACGAACCAATCAGAAAACAGTTTACAAACCAATCGTTTCGCCTTCGTTTTTATAAGGGTAGATAACCATATTCATGTCCATTTACTGAATGATTTATGTAAATAATGTATATATTTATAATTTATTTATATTTAATTGTATTATCAAAATCTGTAGAATGTATTGTTGATTTCAAATATGTATAACATCTATATGTTTGACTTTTTTTTATTATCATTACTATTCGTTCTTTATCTGAAATATGTCATTCTGTTATGTTTATTATTATTGAACTTATACTTGGCAATTTAATTCACAATAACTTGTCTACGATATCATGTGCACATAAAATTCCGGGAACGAACGAACGATTCTAAATAAAACTAATGACCCTACATTATTATATGAACGTTCGGTCTTCATTAACATAATAATATATAATTGGTTGTTAATAATTACGCATTTAGAATAGGCCAACTCCTAACATTGTCCGATGAGAGTTACTTACCTTTGCCAACTTCCTTTTCAAATAACAATTTATGGAATTGGTCGATAAAAATAGCACAATCATCAAGGGCGGATAACTTGAAAACGTGTCTCCCCCATAGATTAACCCAGGGTATAGTGGAGTAGAACGGAATGAGTACACTGGGTAACCGAGGATGCATATGGCCATGTCAAAATATGGGCGTATAAAAATGCTTGTCAAAAGATGCATTTATAAGTATAAAATGCACTTTAACACTCCCTGTATTCAGAATCAAACGCCTCATCAACATTTATGACAGCTATCTTGTTATTTGTCATTATGATAGAGTTACAGTTAACCGACATTAAAATTGCTCTTGTTGGACACTAGTTAATTTAACTTAAGGTGTACAACAAAATAAAATTCCTCTGACCTAAAGAATTTGTACATACAACTGTGATAGAAGATGCAGGCAGACCACCATTAAATTTCACTATCTTGGTACCCACAAAGTGTAGTTCGCCTATTTATAGGAAATCAAGCTGATTCAGACCATGGCTGACTCAGGTCAGACCAAAACTCAAAGCTGATTCGGACCACATTCTAAGCTGATTCAGAGCAGTACCAGGCCGATTCGACGCATCAAAGACTCGACTTATAACTTGAAATATTTATCGCATAATTGTGACAACTTGTGACTTGCAAGTGTTTAAAATCTGATTCATTATTTCATTTCATTTTTTTTTTCTTTAATACTTTTGATAGCCTACACTACATGGAGATCTGACAAGTTATAGTGGGAGTTCGCGTCAGGGATCAAACGAGCGGCTTTTGACCCTATGATGTCAGACATTGATTACATGTAATCAATCAGCGTTGACGTTTCTAGTGGTTTACCCATAGTTCTGTGCATCAAAAGGCTAAGAACTCGCTGTAGCAGACCCTTCCATTGGCTAATCCCTCACTTCAACCAAAACGCTGGTAATATAACAACTCTTCCAGATTCTACTGTAGTAAAGACAAGTAAAAACCAAACTTTGAACTATAAAAAACGAAACAAAATAGGATCTGTGTTTTAACCAGATTGAAGTGTTCAGGGACTCAAATTCTTGGTGAGGGGACATATATAACTCTAACTTGCCTTATTTGAAGTTGGAACAAGCAAAGTTTGACGGGACTTGGGACTAGACTCGACTTGGTACTAAAGTCAGCGAATTGGGACTTGACTCATACTCGAGATGCAGTGCATCTTGGGACTCAACCTCTAGATATGACTTGTTCTCGATCACCTCTGGTAGTTAATAAAGCACAATAAAATTGGCAAAACCCTTTAGTATGGCAAGTTCCTATTGGTAGTTTATTATATCAAAATTGTTAGCAAAGGTAGATGAAAGCTTGTACATATAATGTTAAATTTATCTCATCTTTAAAGGAGCTAAATCGCTACTCTTTGGGATCTACAAATTGGCACAAATGGGTTGCAACGCATATAATAATGTAATCTGAATGTATATAGACTGATTTACATTCAATCTTTTCCGTTTTTACTCTAATTTCAAACCCGTTATGTTCTGCGAAATACGCCAGAAGTCCCAGTCGAATGGCAATCTCGAGCGTCTGGTAATTCCAGTCTATTGCGCATGCTCTCTAGATAAAATCTGGCATCCCCATTTGACATGACTTGTGAAATGTCTAGCCTCGTTTTTTCTTGTCCCTTGTTACAAATAGCGCTGAAACGCATTATGGCTAATGGTAGTATTGCCATTGGTACACGATTCGAGTACCAACCAATGGTAAAATGTTTCTTTTGTCTTAAATATTGGATATCACTTATCACTCAGAAGCCCATCTTTTCCCCGGTAAGATCAACATCAATGTTGATTTAAATTGACAAATAATTCGTGTTTTCAATGTGAAAGACTTTGGATGATATTGAGTTAGAGATTGTAACAGTGAGTAACACCACTGAGTCGTAAACATAACCTTATATTCACCCCCTTTTCATCCAATCAAATTGCAGTACCTTGACACACCTCCAAGGTCGAGATAACTTTTGTTGGAAATCATGTTAAAAAACATTACTGTGATAAAGGATACTTTTTTGTGTTACTGTCGCAGCTGAGTGCTGAAGTCTTTGGTTGGCGATTTGAATGCAGCATCTTCCTCTCCTAAATAAATATATAGTCCGCACTGATGTCATTTTGACAATGTTAATGCTAATCTCGGTTTAGTTTTATCAAGATTACTTAACCCTGAGCAAAGTGTTTACGAAACAATGGTTATATCCAAATTAAGGGTCATACAATGTATTATTAACGAAACGAAATCTTTATCAGCATGGCGGAAAAAACACTATATGGGTTGTTAGAGTATAGTATCTGTTGAAACTACCAACAAGCACAATTTAATATAATTTATAATAGATCCTATTCCACTATTCATTTATTAAGAAGAGTAAATTATAAAGTTCGTCCTTTTTACGACTTGGCTACAATTTACGGAACGAACAGTCACCCGTGCAATCTGTTTCGTAGCGGTATTGCGAATGCTTTCATCATCTTTCATCTTCCAGGAGTTTAACGTCCACTACAAGGGTGATATCGTAGACAAGATGACTGACCTTTCTACGTGTGACGTCACATCACATGGCTCCATGCCATGCATAGCTCGTACAATATAAATAACTGGTCCGGGCAGAAACTAGTTCAGCTCTGCTGAACGTAGGCCTACTACGTAGGTCTCATTACACGTAACGGCAAGTGAAATGATACCTACGAAAATGGACGTTTTTGATTTTTGTCTTAATAATGTGTAACTGCTCCAAACAATCCTCAGACATTCAACAATTCGTCGTGGCATGCTCTTAATCAACCGTCCAATCACGTTTCGGGGCAATCTGACCCAATTCTTGCTGTGTAATTGTTGGTTGACGTCGACGAACACGTCTCCCGATCAAATTAAACATAACACACTAAAGCAAAGATACGCTAAACAGTAAATCTTATGCAAGAACCGATAGGAAAGCAAACATGGATAGGATAAACCAGCAAGCGGCAGTTTTCATCAACCCTTTGACAATGAACCCTAGCTCCCACGTGTATGGCTCTATTGCGTGTCGCAGGTGCAGCTCAGTGGTTCTGTTGGGGCGATAAGTTCGCATCTGTGAACATACTCTCAAAGCATGTCAAGTGTACATCAGGCCCGTAACTGGGGGGGGGGGGGGCGCAGTGGGGGCAAAGCCCCCCCCCCCCCCCCCCCCCCTGTGAAAATTTTTTCAACCATACAAAAAATAGATATACATTGTCCGTTAATATTATTAAAGCACCCCCGAGGACATTTCCCGCGCCCTCGTTGCTCTGAGCTAGTTACGGCCCTGGTGTTCATGACTATTTATCATATCACAACCTGCATGGGTATTTGCATTTCAATATCCCCTACTTTTTTGAAGAGTATATAAGGCTCTGGACGTAAAACTCTAGAAACGAACCAGCGAACGGGTCTGCTGAGGTTTCCCGAGTGAGCCGGTCGCAATGAATTATGATAAAAGGGAGACAAATACATTTATCCGTCATCAATAATATGGGGTGAGACAACCAATGCTTCGTCGCATTTTAAAAAATATTTACGACGAATTTGGGGCATTCAGCTGCTTTTCTGTATATTTTCTCAGAAACCGTGAAAGACATCTTTACAAAAGGCTGTGCACATAATTTTGTGTAGCATGTGTTTTCTTGTTGATGAATTTTTACTTTGTTTTTAGGAAACAATTCGGGTCAGATCATTGAAACAATCCAAATGAGCGTTATTAATCTGCGTAATGAGATAGGTTTTCTTCCCTTTTCTGTGATATGCAGGTATTTTTTAATTATATTTTCAAATTTGTATCATTGTATCTAGAACTGAGTATATGCAGAATGGTGCCTTTTACTCATTGTATATTTACACTAAATAGGAAATATTTTTATCCACATACACTTCAAACACCTTTATTTATTTGTTCGAGAATTTAATTCTCAGTGGTATTAGCGGCCTAGCGAACCCTAGCCCTAACCCTAACCCACAATCTCGTCAACACCTGCTCTAATTTACATCTCACGAACTTGGCGAAATCTGCAGGAGTCCTTAACTTTTGGACTTAGCCGGTCGCAGTGGATTATGATAAAAGGGAGACAAATACATTTATCCGTCATCCAATAATATGGGGTGACACAACCAATGCTTCACCGCATTTTAAAAACTATTTACGACGAATCCTTACAATCAATAATTTTGTAGGTTATGTGGCGACCATAATATGGGGAAAACATGCGATGTGAAAGTAGATGGTGCTGTTCCTATACCCAGGTACCATATTATCTTTCCACAAAAAAGTTGACATTAATACACGTTGTTTTCTTTCATGATAATTTTAGAAAGGAGAAACTCTGATGAAACCTAATTATAAAATCCATAATCAAATGTGTGGCTTCTCTGAAATAACATTTTGCAATACAATAATGATTATTATTATAAGGCTCATCTCAGACACCATTCAGAATATCATTATAAACCTTTGTACACATAATGCTAATTCGAAAATTCTCAGTTGAATATTTTTGCATTTCTTTGGAAAACGATTAATATAATTTTTAGTATGCAATTATTGTTATTACCGAATACATCCCAGAAACCATTAAAGATATCTTTATGAACATGTTCGTACGCACAGCAATCTTTTGTCGTAGTTGTGAACTGTGTTCATTAGCAAACAAGTTTGACTTAGCTTTTGGCTATCACACATAAATCTAGTATATTAGTTGAATAGTTGTACCATAAACAATTTATGGTTAAATTTATTAAAAAATCAATTTTGCTTTATTTAGGGTATTCAGCTGCTTTTCTGTATATTTTTTTTTGCAGCCGTGAAAGACATCTTTACAGAAATCTATGCACATAATTTTGTATAGCTTGTGTTTTCTTGTTGATGAATTTTTACTTCGTTTTTAGGAGACAATTCCGGGTCAAATTTATTTAAATTATGTTTTCAAACATGTATCAGTATCATTGTATCTAGAACTGAGATAGAAATTTTCAGTCTTTTGACGCTTTCTTAAAAAGTGGTGGTGGCATGTTTCTAATTGAACCCAATTTGCATACCACCTTCATTAAAGAGGCTTTACCCATTTCCAAAGCTATATGTGGAGGTTGGTATACCTCGGTTGTAAGAAAATCGGCGGTACTGAATATATAGCACAGTCATAGTCTTTTTAAAAGTCCACAAAGGCAATCCATAAACATAATCAGATTCCGCCCAAGACGATTGGTCAGGTGGGGCTTAATTAAGAAAACCTGCCACTCGAAGTCCCCAGAAATATTTTGAAAAATAGATTCGATTTGGTACATTCTGACGTATATTCCTGTACGAGAAGCACAAGTTAAATAATATAAGAATATTGAACATTGTATTGCATTAGAACATAAGTTTTAAACTTCAATCAAGGTACGTCCCTACCAGTCCTTTTTAAAGACTAACTGCATCTAATGTATGAATGATCCCACATTTTCTGACGAACTGGCGGCACTGTAAACCTACAGATGTCTGCCAGAGGAGTTCAAGCCAAATTCAAAATTATCCACAGGGCCCTTTTGGTGTAAAAGGGGCCCAATCGAATGCAAGTCAGGAATTAAAATGTGACTCTTGATTGTAGACCGAATGAGCGCCTAGAGAATTACCATCCTAATTTCAAATTAGAATCTGTCGGTCATTCAATGGAACGTTTGATCTTGTACTGAACTCTAAATCCCACTTACACTTTGCCCCATACAGTAGAAAGAAACACTTTCATATTCCAAGTACAAATGACATATTTAGCACCAGAAACGTTTTAATAACGAAACATGGTAGTAATTATTGTGATACTATATTGGTGAATATTTAATGTTGAATCCTAAAAATTTCCAGGTTAAAATTCAAAAGGAAACAATTTTCGCTGAGATGTAAATAAGGTTAGGACACGTGATTGTAGGTTAGAGTTACGGTAAGCATTGTGGCTAGGTCTCGGGTTATAGTTGGGATTAGTGCTAGCCCTGTTTAGTGACTAAACTTGAAGTTGGCCTTATCAAAAAAATCTAACCCTAAAATACCCACTGTTTGTAGACAGCAGTCGGGGATTATCACGTGGAGTATTGATTTGGGGACACACCTGGCTACTACAGGGAAAAATGTCCTCTTTTACCCCCTGGCAGGTGGGCCCTCAACCACACAGTCCACCTCTGGTTTGGAAAACGCATTTGCGGCGGTCAAATTTTCAAAATTTTCTGGGGGAGGACCTCTGGACATTAGCCCAGTTGGAGCAGAACAACAGGACGTTAAACCCCATTTCATTTCATCGAAGGAGTGCAGGCACAGGTCGGTATTTACCCGAAATGTATTTTTTTTTTATTATAGTCGGATTTGGTTTGTTACCTAATTCCCAACCGTCGGCTTTTCGGGTAGAAATCATGGAATAAGCTTTATTTTGTAGATTTTGATGTTTGATTACAAAAAAACAATGTTGACATTTTTTCTGAGTAGGTCTTCATAGTATGGGAGGCCATTATTTGAGGGTAGCCATTTGCGATAATATTCCAACTTATTTTATTATTTTCACCTTATTTATAAAGTTATCGACATATCAACTGTGATTTGGCAATGTATTAATATTGGCAGGTTTCATGACTATACTTCAGATTGTTTTCCATCATTTCAGTATGATATTTCCAAGATGGCGACAATTTTTGGCGGAAAATCGGACGATGTGCTGATTTCGATTAAGTAGTAGTGCTTGGTGTCAAAATATGGCCACAGATTCCATTCCTGACATTTACAACCTTGTAAAATGATCACATGTTCATATACTTAGCATATTTCGAAGATGGCGGTCATTTTTGGCGGGAAAATAGGACCATGTGCTGATACTGATTAAGTAGTCGTCGTTGGTGTCAATATATATGTTTTCAAGGGCACAAAAGCCATTTCGGTTAGTAACAACTGTGTAAAATGATTATTTTGCACATTTACAATATGACGGCCATTTTTTTGGCGGGAAGATGGAACGATGTGCGGATATTGAATAAGTAGTCGTCTATGGTACCAGGATATATTTTTGGGGGAGCAGATTCCATTTTTGTCGTTTACAACTGTGTAAAATTACCACATGTTCACATATTTAGCATATTTCCAATATGGCTTTCATGTCGGGCGGGAAAATGGGACGATGTGCTGATTCCGTTTACGTAGTCGCGTTTTTGTGTCAATATTTGTTTTTCGGGGCCGCAGATTCGATTTCTGCCATTTACAACCGCGTGAAATGGTGGTATGTTCACACATTCAGCATATTTTTGTTTGTGGCAGAACGTTTTCTAAACAAATTATACTGTAAAGGTTTCTGAATCCAATTCTGCTATGTATAAGCTTGTAGCATGTTCCTGGAAGCCTGTGCCGAGTTTACCCATTAGGTATATTATCCAACAATGTTGTAGTTGAACTCCAGCGCAATATCATTCCACATGTTCGTTCTACATTCATCTTGGAAGTCGGTTGATAACATAATCTATGCTATGAGGGCTTCTTAGCAAGTATTTCATTTACAGCCACGTCCCCACCACTATCATCCACGTTGCTGCCAGGCTGGAACGAAGCTCCTGGCCATATGCTTGCTATGCTGTTACGACCTTTATGTATATATATATAGGGAAGATACTGAGCCTCGTACATCAGCTCCAGTCTAGCACCCAAAGAGGAAACCTCAAGAAAACTATGAAATGTTCTTGATTGCTTGACTGTTGGTTGTTTTCTGCTTTGAAAGTGAATGAGGACGGGTGAGCATGGCACAGTCTCTATAAGCGTGACGAGAGAACGCCTTACGCCTGGTAGGCATGTCACTGGAGTGTGGTAAGAAAGTATTCCGGTCTGACTGGTAACCGCGAGATCATGGTGGGAACACTTTTCGCGCAGCCAGATCTTGGCCATGAGCGTAGAAAGATCTTGTAGTAAGCGCTTGGTGTGGTCGTTGCAGACGCATGATGGGCACGTGGCGTAAGCACCACGCTGCCGCTATGCTCTCTTTGCCTTCATGCCAGGAATAGGCTTTACTTTCCCAGGAAAATCGATGATAAATAAATGCTAATAATGTGTTTAGAAAAATTTCCACCATCTTGGAAATATCCTAAATCGGTGAACATACGACCATTTTTCGTAGTTGTATATGACAGAAATCGAATCTGCCGCCCCGAAAACATATATATTGTCACCAAAGACAACTACTTAATCGAAATCAACCCATCTTCCGATTTTCCCGCCACAAGTGGCAGCAATATTGGAAATATACTAAATATGTAAACATGTGATCATTTTACAAGGTTGTAAATATCAGAAATTGATTCTGCGTCCCCGTAAACATATATATTGACACCAAACACGACCACTTAATCAAAATCTGCACATCGTCTCATTTTCCACGCCAAAAATGCCCGCCATCTTGGTAATATGCTAAGTATCTGAACATGTGATCATTTTACAAGGTTGTTAATGTCAGGAATGTAATTTGTAACCCCGAAAACATATATATTGACACCAAACACTACTACTTAATCAAAATCAGCACATCGACCGATTATCCCGCTAAAAATGGGCGCCATCTTGGAAATATCATCATGAAATGATGGAAAACAATCTGAGATATAATCATGAATGCTGCCAATATTAATACATTGCCAAATCACAGTTGATATGTCGATAACATTATAAATAAGGTGAAAATAAAAAATAATTTGGAATATTATCGCAAAATGGCTACCCTCAAATAATGGCCTCCCATACTGTGAAGACCTACTCAAAAAAAAAATCAACATTGTTCTTTTGTAATCAAACATCAAAATCTACAAAATAAAGCTTATTCCACGATTTCTACCCGAAAATCCGACGGATTTACATTAACGATCGGACTATTAGCAGAGGACAATTTGATATAGGGATACCGCCAGCTATAATCATAATGTTTTTATTAAATTGTTCATTGGTAGATTTATGTTACCGCGGCGAATTTTATCAAATCAGAAGCTCGGAGACGAGTTCTGCTCATTTACATGGATACATGCATTGGATTAGAGTGGGGCAAAAACGATGACAATATAGTTCGCACGTTTGTTTGTTCCACGTAATTGTGATGAAAGTAGAGCTATTATTTTGAACAGAAACTTGGGGAATGTCCGAATTGCATCTTTATTGTAAATGATTCAGCTTTATGAAAATTTGGAAAAAGCTAGCAAATACAGAGCCTTAATCCTTCTGGATTTCCCCTGGCCACCAATGCACTCAATAGACATCAAAAAGGCGAGATATAGTGTAGTTCTGGGTACTCATCAATTATTGTCCTTAACATACAAATGCTCGATTATTCTATATAATTGCATATTTTGTGTAATGGAATATGTAGGGCCTAAGTAATGGTATGCCTATTATGGATCCATAGGATGGATAAACTATAATGGCCATAAAACAAGAAAACAAATATTTCCTAGGATTCCTTTTTTATTATTTTTTTTAATCAAAATGGAACATCTGAAAGGATAACAAAAGAAATAAAAGGTCATATAACAACAAGAAGGTTAATTTATACAAAATAACCCTTTTTACAAACAATATATACACATATTTATATGGTAATGTTTGCAAGCTTTAGATCTAAATTTAGTATTGTATGCTAATAAAACAGATAATTAATATTTGTACATAAAAATGATTTATCTTTATTTTAAAGCATACATCACATACATTTTAATAATTTACTTTGTTAAAGAAAAATGAACCCAACTCTTCATTATAACCTCATGTATATGTAAGCAAGAATAATTATTATCAATTATTTCTGGTAAAGTAGCTAATTAATAGTGAAAGCAGCATTCTAATATTAGTTGAAATTAAGATATACATAGTTGTTTTGTTTCCAACACAATATAATTGGATAGGCTCCATTATATTATTGACTGTAGCCCATGTTTTGGCATAATACCATGAATACTACTGTTTGAACACATCAATTTCTGAACAGAAATGCAAATAATAATACTTTTCTAAAGCTCCATACTGCTTACAAACTGTATATATTATGCTTACATGTACATTTATACTACAATACACATCAAATAAATACTTATTAACTAAACAACTTGATGTATATATTTGAGTAGATGACTGTTGCTTGAGGATAGATACTGAAACAAAATTAACAAAATTGTCAATTATGAATAATTAAGACAAAAAATGTTTTGGAATATCACAAACAATATTTATATGAAATTTTAAAACTTTTTGGAAGATTTAATGTCCATTTTTAGTCAAGGATTAATCATTTAAAAAAAAAAATCTATGAAACAGTTTTTAAGAGAAAATAAAAATTAACTTTATATTTGTTTGGAATATCACACACATATTGTATAGGACTCCATCACTCAAGGTATCACAGTTTTTTGATTAAATTGTTAGGTTTAGATAATAAAATGTACACAGTTAGCACAATTTACAAAATTATACATCCAGATAATATACATATAAACAATTTTATATTTACATCTTGGGGTATAGAATATACACATATTTCTTGATGTACAGAAAGACTACAATTTTTTTTTAAATTTAACACTCCCTTTATTAAATTGTGAAAAACAAATCTAAAATAGCAAATATATTGTTTATTATATTTGCAACATATAGACCAAGTCTTTTAAACATACAGTACAATCAAGCTTCATTGTATACATCTCAGCTGAGATAACTTGTTTTACAGGCAAATTAATTCATTCAAATAAACAATAAAGATCAATTTCACTACATCTTTCTTGAGGTATAGAAGTATTATATGAATCTCTCCTCTGACTGTATTTATACAGTCTAGTTAATATATACATTATATTAAGCAAGTTAATTCACACTTGTCACTCACTTCATTTACAATTTATTTCATTAGTGAAGTCAAGAAATAAATCCTATTCCAATCATCACCAATTTATCTGGACCGTAATCTGAATTTGTAGTTCATAATACACACACTTATACACTTTCACATTAGTTAACACTTACTTTTCTATAACAAATTACCTTTGTATCTAATCAAAGTAATTTCAGTCAATGTTATATCACACACTATTTCTAATTGGACGTCTGTTTTGATGCAATTTTTTTGTTATTTTCAACTACCAAAAAGCTACATGTTCAGTTTTCTGAAGAGATACATGCAATACAAATATTCTGATTTGTCTTACATTACTGGTATTTAATTTTCAGATATCCAAGTTATTTTGTTATACTCTATCATGATAAAACATGAGTGAAATAGTGGCAATTTAGTGTAGAATTAAGAAATAATTAGGTGGGGTGGGGTACATATCTAGTCTATAAAACAGGCCAAATCCAATTATAATACATGCATATGAATGTCTAGTGCAGAAAGATTTGATTTCTCATTAGCATGAAGGGAAACTGGCAATTTGTCAATACTTTCAAGTTCCCAAATGACCCAAGTCTTGCCAAATGAATAGATCTAATGGTTTTGAATTTGTTTTTGTTTTAAAAACTTGTTATTTTTAATTTCTTAAATTAATGTCCTTGTCTTGTCCATAGGTTACAAGAAATCTCCACCACCAACATATTAAACTTTAGTGAAATACATGTAGTTTAATAGTTCTGAAATGTTGACAAAGATGTAAATTGCTCACACAGGATTGGAATGGCAGATAGACATAATAGTAGAAGCAGTATTGTTGGCTTGGTGGGCTGAAGGTGCTTTATAATACATGTATGCCCTTTATTTATTATGCAGTTTTGTGTGTACATAAGTTATTTTTTATGTTTTGGTTTCTGCTTTGATTAAAATTGTTTATGGTGAAGGTATATAAAATATAAATTTGATAAGGAATTTCATTAAAAATTCTCAAGTTTCTTTTCCTGAAAAAGAGAAGGTTCTCTTTAGACTTTAAACTTCATTATATAGGAAGCCTATTTAATAAGTTTTTTGTTGAGGTATAGAATTTTATTTGGCATTAGATTAATTATTACCATGGTCCTACAATAAGAACCATATGTTTTCTATTTGCATCTTAAAACTGGCTTTTTGACCATTTTTAAATTAATGCTGCTGTTATAATATCTATACTCAGGAACTCATTTTTTTATTATTTTGGCATATTATTATAACTTTGTATGAACTCATATTTTATAAAATGGTGCTGGCAGCCTAGGGTTCCACCATATAGGAGACTTTGATTTCATGATTTCCTGGAGTTGGAATCCTCTGCTTAGGTTGATATATCAACCAGGATACGGCTGTTCTTGGATAATCGGCAGAGTTATCTCTGATTCCGCCCAGATCTATCTTCAGGTAATCCTGAATATTTGGGCATGATGTTACGCGATAATCCCCCGAACTGTATCACTGATGTTTAGGTCACATTTGCTGACGACCAATTGGGAGGCTCTAGTTGGTTGTCATGGTAGCCTTATATCTCGCTGGTGCTGTTGGTGTGAGGTTGAAGTGGGAAAGGTTTACGTCTTCGGGTTGGGGAAAACCTACTTGCTAGCCCTGTACCGGACAATGGGCGAATTTTAAAAGGTTCATCTTGATGAGCTAATGTTTGAGCTATCATTGATGGTAATGCTTGTAACTGGTGCTGGAAATACAAAGATGTTTAAATTTAGCTTTAAAAATATGCATCCATATATTGAAGAATATATTTTTTCAAGTACCGGGTTAGAAACCTAATTCATCAACAGACATTAACTGGCTTCATCTCGTTTCCATAGAAATAACATCACATGATAAGAGACATGTGTTCTGTGACTTTAATAAATAGGCAAAATGGAAGCGAGCGAAGGCATCCATTATTCAAATGCAGATGATATCGACGATAATGTAGTAATAGAATTGTGGAAAGACCTACCATGCCTTTGAGGTGCTCCTTCTACAGTATATATCATTTTGTTGATCCAAGATAAATAAATTAACAGTTGCTCTCAGTTGCCCTCAGTTGCTGATTTGATCAACATTTACTCATTTGCAACTGACTGAAAGCAGTTGCTACCAGTTGCAAAGTCGAAATAAGCCCCTCTTAACAGTGTGTATTATTGCTAACTTACACACATTGTTAATTTCTAAACTGAAAACTTTGTAACCTAGAGACTTGTCCTTGAACTAAAAAATTCATGCCTTTTTAAAGTGTGGGGGTATTATATATCGTCACCCATATATATCCTTCAGTCTGTGAACAATTGCCTTGTTAACATGATAAGAGGCTACAGCATTTAATAGACTTCTTTCAAATTTGATGTGAAGCATCAGGGTCATAAGCGGAGGAACCCCATGGTGAACAATGGTTAAATCACACCATAAAGCTGACAATCTAGCAACAGTATTCCGCTATTTAGGAACAGAAAAACATATTTACACCTCTGTGACCACAAAATTTTAATTTTAAATACTGGCTACTGGACAGTGTATAGTAGTGTAATTCATTATAATTAACCTTAGCAATACGAAGATTTATTCACAAATATAATTTGGAACCAGAATGCATTTCAAAATCAATAGCTGACAAAACATATCTGCAGTCCAGCTTTTGCAACAGATTTTAGTTTACAATCAAGCTTTTGAAAGTTTTGCAACTTATAATTATTTTTGAATAAAAGTTTCCAACCTGTAGAGCCCCAAGTGAGTCTTCAATTTTACATACTCTTTTCTCCATTTGGTATTGGTTTGAATGCATCTCTCCAACCAACTCTTGAATATTAGCCTGAGTCTGAAAGAAGAGTGTTAAAATTTCTCTTATTTTTAGAAAGACATTTTGCAAATGATTTAAAAAAAAATTATATTACGTTGTATTTTTTTGGATGCATGTTGATCTTATAGTTGGCTTAATGCTAAAAGTGATGTGTTAAAAATCATCTACTAGTTTGTCTAAAGTCATCACAGTTTTAGATTAGAACAAGTATCATGGGGATTACTAGGTATAAGTTAGCGAGGTTAATATTGTAATACAAAACAATTTGAACTACATATATCTTACTACTAACATATAAACAACTGTTTATCTAGATAAATGTTTACAATAGACAGAGGCTACTAACACTATTACTATATATATATCTATCTATGTTCTTGATAAGACTAACGTAGACAATATCCAATAAATGTATCTTATTTGGAAGCTTTTTTTTAAATTTTTATATCTATAAAAAAAATATTTTCATGCAGTTAGTCTTCCCACCCTTCTCCACTCAGAATTTAAAATTATGAAATACAGAATGAAAAATGTTAATTTGAAGAAATTTAGTAAAGGTTATTAGTTTAGCATATTAAGTCCTGAACCAGGAGTTGATTAGAGATGTTATGATTCATAAAACCTCAACATGCAATAGATGAAGTTCCAGTACAGGTAGTTGCTGCTCTCTAAACCTACAAAATAGCCATATATTGTACTAAAATACCTAAAACAGACGACTTGACATGATAGCACTAACTATTGTTACAACATTGCCTGAATGTCTATTGAAGTAAGTCGATATATTATATGTAACAACTGAAGAATGGATTCCAAGCCAGATATTCACCACATTCAAGCATGCCAATGTATTGTTTGTTTCACCAAGTCAAGTGACAACAAAAGCACAATTACTAAAAGCACCAACTAAAATCTATATGAAAAATTTACATGTACATCAATGTAAATGAACACTTGTTAAAAATTTTAATTGTAAGCGGTAATCTGCAATCTGGAAATTAGAGGAGTTTATTTGATCAGAGGGAAACCTACCAAATCATGAAAAAACAGAATTACATCAACTCCAAATCATTTATAATCCAAATCCAATTTACAGATAACATATTGTTGTCAGATGGAGCGTTCACTAGGTTCAACAAAGTAAAACAAGGGTCATAACTTTAGAAGTTATATATGGAAATTGTTGAAATTCTATAGGCTTCTTTGTGTTTCTAATCTAAATAATGCATGTGAATTTAAATAAAGCATGTGAATTTAACATAGTTCGGATGATAACTTTGTCTTTAGAGAACATTTACAAGGGGTTCAACAAAGCAAAACAAGGGTCATAACACTAGAAGTAATTAATGGAAATTGCTGAAATTGAATAGTTTTTATCATTTTATTAATGTAAATAATGCACATAAATTTAATACAGATCAGTTAATAACTTTAGTCATTAGATCATTTACAATGTTCAAGAACATAAAACACAGAAGGCCATAACTTTAGAAGTAATAAATGGATATTGTTGAAATTCAATAAGCTTCTTTAGGTTACTAATTTAAATAATGCATATAAACTAGTTGTTAAAGCGTTCACAAGGTTAAAAAAAAAAAAGTGAAAAAGGGCCATAACTCTAGAATTGTATACGGAAATTGCTGAAATTCAATAGGCTTCTTCATTTTACTAATTTAAATAATGCATGTGAATTTCATACAGATTGGACGATAAATTTTGTTGATAGAGCGTTCACATTGTTCTACAAAATGAAACAAGGACCATAACTCTAGAAGTTATTAACGGAAATTGCTGAAAATCAATAGGATTCTTTATTTTACTAATTAAAATAATGGATATACATTTCATACAGATTGTAGGACAAATTTTGTCGATAGAGCATTCACATGGTTCAACAAAGTGAAGCAAGGATCATAACCCTAGAAGTTATTAACGGATACTGCTGAAAATCAATAGGATTCTTTATTTTTCTAATTAAAACAATAGATATACATTTCATACACATTTTTGGCAATAGAGTGTACATAACTTTCAACAAAGAGAAACGAGGGCCATAACTCTAGAAGTTAGTAATGGAAATTGTTGAAATTCAATACAATTCTTTGTTTTACTAATTAAAATAATGCATATCGATTTAATACAGATCGGTTGATAAGTTTAGTCCATAGGGAGTTGTCAAGGTTCTACAAAGTGAAACAAGGGCCATAATTCTCAAAGTTATAGATAAATTGATGAAATTCAATAGGCATTTTCATTTTACTAATTTAAATAATGCATGTGAATTTCATATAGATTGGACGATAAATATTGTCAATAGAGCATTCACATGGTTCAACAAAGGTAACAAGGCCCATAACTCTAGAAGTTATTAACGGAAATTGCTGAAAGTCAAAAGGATTCTTTTTTTACTAATTAAAGTAGTGGATATACATTTCATACAGATCGTACAATAAATTTTGACGATAGAGCGTTCACAAGTTTCAACAAAGTGAAACAAGGGCCATAACTCTAGAAGTTATAAATGGAAATTGCTGAAATTCAATAGAATTCTTGTTTTACTAATTAAAATAATGCATATCAATTTAATACAGATAGGGTGATAAGTTTAGTGATTAGGGAGTTGTCAAGGTTCTACAAAGTGAAACAAGGGCCATAATTCTCAAAGTTATATGGAAATTGATGAAATTCAATAGGCTTCTTCATTTTACTAATTCAAATAATGAATGTGAATTTAATACAAATCGAACGATAACTTTAAAATTTAGTCATTAAAGAGTTCATGGGCTTCACCAGAGGACCATAATTCTAGAAGTAATTTACGAAAACTGTTCCTCACAATTCCCACGGAGTCCATTAGTCACAATTTCATTTCTGAGATTTACTTGTCCAACACAAAGATATCAGGTACAATTTGTCAATTTAGTAACCAAATTAGTAATAGTGCAGTACTGTATATTTGATAATATTTATACCTTTTTTAAAGAAAATCGTTATTATTCTTTGAAAACAAGCACATCTCAAAAAAAAATCTCGCAAATTCTTCCAGTGAACTTTAGAGGTTACAACTCCAGTGGCAACAGAAAAAAAATACTAGATGACCTTCACAAAACTCAAGATTTTCTTTCCTTGTTTTTGGATTAATTCAGAACAATTTTTTCTTATCATGATCATTCGATTCTCGTAAACTTTTTACAAAATTTGTTGATTTTTCACTTGTCGTCAGCAGAAATAATAACTGTCAATTGCCAGCTACACATATTTTTAGAAGTATGAAGTTTAGATTTTTAATATTATTTCAAATCAATGCATTAGCAAATAGAATAGGCAAGACACCGATGTCCATCTCGGAACAAATTGGAAATGGTAATTCAATGAAGGAGGAAACACTACTGTCCAAACAAAATGTTCTTCCCAGCACAATGCAGGACATTAGAAAAGTAGGACATTAAACTCCATTTCACTTCCCTATGTGCCATATAAAGAAGAACATACTGCATTAATTATAAGTATTCAATTATTTTCTGTTAACTGTATCCATGTATATGTACTGTTTGCTATGATTAGATGAGTTTGAGCAGTTGTCCTGCATTTTCTATTAATCATTAAAATACCTAAATAAAAATTAATAAATGCACAAGTTTGTATATATTTATATTTTTGCAAATAAAATGTGTACCAGTAAATGAAAATGATCTGTGAAAATCTGACATTGCACTGGCTACTCTAATTGGCTCAGTCAATCTAAACTCTAAACCCTGACTATGTAGAAACATCAAGAGCAAATGGTATCTTTATTTAACTTTTAATAACTGGTTTATATTCTTTGACAATGAAAAATATGGAGACCTTATCAAAGAAATCATGGAATGAAAATCCTAAGCTTTTAGATCTGCAGTGCACCATCGGCTTAATACAGGAAATCACTGCCAAATAGAATGGTTTGAAAAGATTTACAGACTCTTGCTCTTAGATGTCAACAGATCTGCTGTGAAACTCACTATCAACCTGCGATGTAGGTCTCATGGATAACATTGGAATATTGAATAATTCATATAATTCATACTGTGTTATCAACTGATTTTGTAAAACCTATATGAGCATGATAAATTATTAGCAATTAGCATTGAAAGCAAAGACATTATATGAACAAAAATGTTTACTATGAGTAATAATGGAATATATCTGCAAAATTAAAATCTAACTAGTTCTAAAGCATGCCATTCTGTGAAGAACGAAAAATAAACAAAATTAGTAAATTTCCATGCAATTAATCAAGGATATCCTTTCATTCCATATGAAAGGGGAGTTTCAAACCTGTTGGTATTCGACATGTGGTATGGAGATATAAACACCGTTGCGGGAATCCAAACCTGTCACCCCTACTGTCTAAAATGGGAAAGGAAAGGAAGACGATGGTGAATAATCAGCTGCAGTGCACTGTGGGATATATTTTTGCACTCCATTTATAAAGTAACATTCATGATTTTGAACATATGCTTATTTTAAATCACAAGCCAAACCGGTGATGTACAGGGGAGTTGAAGAATTGGACAATGCCAGTTTGTCACCACCGCTGTTCCGATCCTTTCCGATACTCCAGTGAATAAATAAATGGACTTTAGATGTTTACTGACGGACTTTGGTTATATAACGGATCAGCGGGTGGACAAAGGATAAAAATAAATTATTTAAGAAACAAAAGGAAGTGGTGACGGAGATATCAAAATCAAGTTTACAAATAGTTACTTTTCCTAAGATTCTGGCTTAATCATCCCTAGATGCCAATATATTCTTACGATCTGATCTTGTATCTATAAGAGCTCAAGACTAGTACCTTAGTTCTTGAGATTCCTAACATCTCTGGATCCTGATTTTTTCCTAACCTCTAGACTTAATTATCTTTGTGATTTTGAAAAATCAATGATGTCTAAATTCCTCAAGATTTTAAGGTAAATGTATATTGGGATACCCAGAATCTATAGTCAAATGATTAAGTTGTATACGGTGGATATTATATTTTTTGAAGATATAATCTAGAGATCTGGTGCTTTCCACGTAATGATCTAATGTTAATTATATCAGGATCCCCCATTGAATAATCTCTTGAAAATTTTGAGTGTGTCATCCTCTATAATATTCTATCAATAAAGAGAAGATATTACCTGATAACGTTCATCCTAATTTTTATTTGTTTTTCTGAATCAAATCAAATGATGAAAGTGCCACTTTCAAACTACTTTAATATCATCTAGCATAACAAGCAAACAGGTAGTAAAAAAAGAAAATAGAACAGAGTCTAACAGAAAGAAGAAAAAAGAAATAAGATATTAACACAAGAGGTAAAAAATAATCTTTCAGAACGCAGAGATGACAGAGTTGCTTCCCTTGTCACATCAACCAATTTACACTTTTTATACTGGTAACTCAAACCACATACTGATTACATAATAAAATGCAATAATATGTTATAAATTAGGCATGTGTCCAATTCATTTCAAACTCCCCTATGGAATATATACAAACATATTTTTGAAAATGAATAAATTGATAGATAATAGTAAAGATTGCACATTTATTAAAGCATTAAGTTAGAGATTTCCATTACTGTAAAATTAAAAAATTCATGTGAGGGAACTCATTATTCATTCTAACCTCAATATAATACAATGCAGAAGAGTAATCTTTTTTTTCTTTATCATATTTAAGTCTTTTTATAAAAATAAATCTTGAACATAAGAATTAATATCGAGATAGTTAAAACTAATAAATATACCTGTATGCCTACAATCACATAGGATTATATATATATTTTCTAATCATAAACAATCCTACACACTAAATTATTTTATTTGGTAATACTATTTCTCCAAGATCTTTGTTAATATAAATGTGCAGTGCTCAGTGCATTGTGTCATCATTCTAGATAACCTTAAACAACTTACTTATACAACCTGTATGACTCATTTAAATCATTGAACACAATCTGAACTTCAGACATATTTTTTCAAAATTCTTTCAATTTAATCATTCTGTTTCAGTGCATTATTTCTTCATTATGGAAAACAATTAAATTTTCAAAGAGTAGAGCACAATACTTTGAACTTGTCATGGTGCAGTGATGTAAAATAAACAATAACAGTATAATTCCAAAAAGGTTTTTTTTTACTATTATTTAAATGAGTCAAGACCAGGTTGTTAAGTTACATTTCAGGTGATAACAGAAACTCACTCTCACACTGTGTTCTTATAAAATCTATGTGTTACAGAAATCAGCTTTATGTGACAACATTCAGTGATTCATTTCACAGAAGCTAAGAATGATTTAATCTAACTGAATATCTAGAAAATCTTTCATACTCTTTTATATGAGAAATGACTGAATTCTAATAATGTGATCTTTTAATTTTCTTTTGAAAAATATTATGCATGAAAGAATTATGATTCGAGATATATGAAATAGTTCTTGCATGTACGCTAACTAGTGGGAGTTTTCTACCAAAAGCTTACCTTTGCCATATCAATTAATGTGCTCTGATTTTCTGTCAACTTTCGTTGATCCATCTTCACTCTTCTTAAGCTGTTAAAAGCAAAAACCATTAACAGGGTGTTTCAAAATACCAAATAATAACTCATTCAATTGTTTGAAAGATAGGTTGCCAGGCAACGAAACATACGCCCACAGCAGCTAAATCGTCCGGGCAGTCAACAAGAGTTGTCGCATATTTTTACTTTTTTCGGTAATGAAACATTTATAATACACTAAAATCTGATTAAGAGCAACAACTCAGAAAATCATGCTAACGTTTTGTATACAAAACTTTTAATACTGTATCATGGATTTAGCTGTTCCAAGTCATAAAAATTCATTGAAAATCAATATACTTGTTCGTCTCAAGATCTTAAACTCTGTGTATCAATCTGAAGTCAATCGGATATTAACTTAGGCCTCTAGAGCGTCCACAAGATTTTTCAAAGTGATCAAGGGCCATAACTTTGGCAGTAATTATCATAAATCTTTGAAAATCAATAGGATTCTTCGCCTCGTGACCTCAAACACTGTGTATAAATCAGATATTAACTTTAGCCTTTAGAGCATACACAAGGTTTTTTGAAGTGATCAAGGGCCACAACTCTGGCAGTAATTATCGAAAATCACTGAAAATGAATAGACTTCTTTGTCTCATGACCTTAAACACTGTGTATAAATTTAAAGTCAATCGGATATTAACTTTAGACTCTAAGAGCGTCCACAAGATTTTTCAAAGTGATCAAGAGCCATAACTCTGGCAGTAATTATCGTAAATTGCTGAAAATCAATAGGATTTTTCGTCTCATGACCTTAAGCACTGTGTATAAATTTAAAGTCAATAGGATATTAACTTTGGCCTCTAGAGCGTCCACAAGATTTTTTGAAGTGATCAAGGGCCATAACTCTGGCAGTAATTATCGGAAATCGCTGAAAATCAATAGGTTTCTTCGTCTCATAACCTTAAACACTGTGTATAAATTTAAAGTCAATCGGATATTAACTTCGGCCTCTAGAGCGTCCACAAGATTCTTTGAAGTGATCAAGGGCCATAACTCTGGCTGTAATTATCAGAAATAGCTGAAAATCAATAGGCTTCTTCGTCTCATGACCTTAAACACTGTGTATAAATTTAAAGTTAATCGGATATTAACTTTCGCCTCTAGAGCGTCCACAAGATTTTTTGAAGTGATCAAGGGCCACAACTCTGGCAGTAATTATCGGAAATCGCTGGAAATCAATAGGCTTCTTCGTCTCATGACCTTAAACACTGTGTATAAATTTAAAGTCAATCGGATATTAACTTTGGCCTCTAGAGCATCCACAAGATTTTTTGAAGTGATCAAGGGCCATAACTCTAGCAGTAATTATCGGAAATCACTGAAAATCAATAGGCGTCTTTGTCTCATGGCCTTAAACACTGTATATAAATTTAAAGTCAATCGGATATTAACTTTAGCCGGACGGACGGACGGACGGGGGCGACGACAATATACGACCACATTTCAATGTGGGCGTATAAAAACTACAGTAACAAATAAATGAACCGGAGGTTATTACCAGGCATATAAAACAAAATTTGTGATATCAAATCTGTGGACTGATTTAAAGGTTAATTCTAGAAGCATCTGAACCAACAATATTATGATTGGGTGTGCATAAGAAAAAAACATTATTTTTCTGTAATAGGTAATGTCAACTAACCTGTGTATTGCTTGTAGAAATTTTCTTTGATGCGCTCTTACTTTACTGGCATGAACCTTTTGCACCAGTTTTGTGTATTTATATATTAACCAGGTTTCTCTCAGCACATTAGCTGCAGCATTTTTTAACTGGAACACCACAGAAATATACGTATATGACTAAAATTTAACCTTAGATATTTGGTGCTAGACATATACCATCCATTGATTTTCTTTGATACATTTGTGTGTCATAGTGTGACACAGATTTACCAGAGTGGTGTCACTGTCTGGTTACTTTCTACACCCATCATTGATAATCTAAGCATGGTCATTTAAATAATAATAATGCAATTAATTGCTCCAAGAATGTTTTCTAAACATTGTCTTATTCTCTGTCAGGGATACTGATATTTTCTAGTCTCTATCATCCAGAAAAATATTCTATGAATATTAGTCTGGATGCATTGTCAACATTTGAGAATAATAGGTCATTGGCTTTATCATCCGGTCTTTTACATTATCATAAACAATGTCTAAGGGAGGTAACTCCTCTTAAAACAAGATGTTTACGCCCATGAAATAAATTTAAGAATGTCATTTCAAAAAATCCATTTGATTGCATGCCAGTTAATTTTTTTATTGTAAATTTTCTCTCTTCATGGGCCATATCTTCGTTGTCGCGATTCATGTTTGTTTATATTAATGCAAGAATTATGGGCAATGGACTTTACGTCAAATATTGACAACGGTCCCAGACCCTCCATATGTTGAAGACTAGGAGGTTCTGAGTGACTGAGACTAGATATTTTCCAGCCATATAAGGAAAAAAGAAAATATTTTCAATAATTCATTATAAATATTACCAATTTTAAAATAAACTAGTTGAAATGACAAGAAACACAATTAAGTGAACCTTTTTATACTGATAATTGTAAAATACTTTTTCCCATCACGACAATAAAACACAACCATTGATATTGTTATTGCTTAATTAGTATCAATATTTCATAACAATTTTACCATTTTCCCCATTAAAAGTTTGGATGAAACAGGCAGCTTACGTTTGATAAATCACTTATATCATGTAATAGTTATACCACAGTAAACCTTTTATTCTGTTGGAATGAAACTGTATTTTCAGGCTAATAATCAGATTCTATTATGATGCATTCATAAAAGAAGCATGGTGAATAAGTTTGTTCATGGGCATGTCTGAACCTGATAAAATACTCACTCTTTTTTGTAACTGTGTATCCATCATAAAATTATGTACATGTTTTTCGGCACGACTAAGTTCTAGTTTCCGAGCAATGACCGCCACAACCAGGGCTGTACAACCAGCTCCCTGAAATATCAAATGTCAAAATCAGCCATGTAAAAATACATTTTAAATTTAATCTTTTATATTTCCTTTATATAAGTTAGAGGTCAAAGCCAACAGAAATAGAGAACAAGCTAAAAATAAAAGCGATTTTTCGTACAATCAGTAGCCATAATCCAGGAATTTATGGTCAGAAATGCGCAAATATCGAAAGGGACTGTAATATTTGGGATATAAAGATAAAAATTGTGACTTCTAGAAGGTCCACAACCTTAGTATTACATACTATTACACTATTTGTGTACAAGGAGCGGCGATTTTGTAAGGCAGTTTTGTTTCGATTTTCAAGAAATTCGAACTCAACTGTCATTAGGGTGTAACGGTGATACATTTAAACATTTTTTAAAATCGGATAAAAATTGTGACCTCTAGAGGGACCACAAGCTATAAACATGATTTTTAGTCAAATCAAGGGCCATAATTCAGGAAGTGACAATCCGATATGAATGTATATCGAAGGGTCCTAAGATCTTTGGGATATAAACATGTATTTCAAGTTTTATCGAAATTGGATCAGAATTGTGAGGTCTAGAGTGTCCACAAGCTGAAGAAGTGATTTTTTGTACAATCAGGGGCCATAATCCATAAAGTTATGGTCCGATACATGCCTCATATAAGGAACCAAGATCATTGAGAGATAGACCTACATTTCAAGTTTCGTCAAAATCGGATAAAAATTGTGACCTGTAGAGTGTCCACAAACAAATTGCGGACGGACGGATAGGGGCGATGGCGTATAAAATTGACAAAATTATGGATAAGTCAAATTGCTAAAAAAAACACTCTTGTCAGTGATTAGTAGGATCTGAAATTTCTAAAGCAAAGTGTCTTTAATACTACCATAACACATTCCATAGTAGTTATTTATCCAACAATATTATCCATCTTACCATTGACAGATACCAAATTAATGTTGATTTGTTGGGGGAACAACAACTGTTAATTCTTTGGGACAATGCCTTATTTTGCATATCATGCATATTTACATCATGACAAATATTTGGTGCTCTAGACTAGTAAAATGTTTATATAAGTATTCTGAAACACAATTTCTTTGTAACTATTCTATCAGTATTATTTGTTAGCTTCTAGTATATAAAATGGAGGTATTGGTGAAATATTGACAAGGTGAAACAGATAGAGAGAACACATGATTTTACGAGTGAATAAACACTTGATTCCACAGTAACAAGGTGAGATTCATGAAAACATTAGACTTAATGAGCACCATTTGACAGGCAGGTAGATTTTACAAGTTAATGATAGAAATGTGCTCCTTACACCTGTACTTCATCTCATCTTAATACATTGACTAATATATGCCTATAAACACAACCAGCAAGGTTTCACCAACATTACTATCTCTTGTCTGACGTAAATCGCTTCAGTTTGTGTAAACAAATAAATAAAAGCTCTTTATCAATGTGGTTTAAGTTATTTGAAAGTCAAAAAGGCCTTCCCTAAAAACAAAAGGAGACTAATTTTACATTCTTGATGTTCCATTAATCACGTACATGTACTGCCATATTTCAATACTAACAATCTGTTGTGCATTCTATATTTTACTCTAACATAAATTGTACTCTGTTACATCATCAACATTGCCTTATCTTTAAACCATAATATTTTTTATACTGATAGACAGTTGGCAAGGTAACTTGACTGAATTGCAATGCATATAATAATATAAAAATTTCCTCCTACATGATGATTTCATGCAGCAAGATAAAACAGCTTTAAGGAGGCATGGTTCCCGATATAAATCTTATTCATCTGTGACACAATTAACATGAAGAAAGGCAAATTATTGTTATCAGTAAAACATGAAATTGCAAACATAATCAAGCATTTTTATACAAACATCTATCACTTAATATTGATAACCTCAGAACAATATGCTGAATTTTGGTTTAACATACCAATATTGTTTCAAATTAGGTTCAATTTGCATGTTCAACATTTACAAATATGGAACGTAATGGTTAACTGTTGATGCTGTAAATAACAGGGCGTTGCATGGCCATGTGATCTAACTTGTGTGCCATAGATCATAAGGTTTTTTATCTATGGAAATCATGGGTTTGATCCAGCGATTGTACGTGACAAGGAGTATGGTCCGCTACTGAACGTAATAGGTAATCTCTAAGTTAGTTCTAAAGAACTCTGCATTGGATAAAGATAGGTTACCATGCAATGAAACATGCCAACAGTAGGGTGACCCACCATAAATAAATATCTCCATATATCTCGACAATTACGCCACAATATTTATATATATGCCAAGCTTCAAATCAGTTTCACACAATTATAGTCACTAAATAAACGATAATGTTGTACTTAATAAGCTATGACCATTAATCATCTATAAATAATAGACTGAAAACTGGTCCCAAGTGTCGTCCATAACATCCAGACACTTTTGAGTAAAAGATAGGTTACGTGCCCTTGTTTTAAAATTAGTGTAGCTTAACCAGTCTATCGACCATTCTACGTCTGATTGACAGGTCGGGATAATCAAGACTACTTTTTTACGAAACATAACAGAAAGCTAGAACAAGAAATTGAATTTAGAAATAAACACGTTAGGTAGCTCAACAATCGTTTTAAGAAGCTTGTAAAAGTGAAATGAAACTACTGCTAGTATCATGTTCCTGTCTAACCCGAGTGTTTCAGAGACATTATTTGTACTAAACCAAAAGATGCCGCTCTTAACGGTACAGTTAATGATAAAGCGATTTAAAAAATGAAACAAACGTAATTTCTAAATCTGCTGTAATAACCAAGAAGGTTAATTTTACTGCTATTCAAAATCGTCAACAATAAATTTTTTACGGCTGTAATAGTTGATAGATTTGTAGAGAATTGCACGTGCCATGGCTATTTATAGTATCATACTGTCAGAAAGTTGGTCTCGGCACGGCGAATGTGCACGCTTCAGTGGTAGTCTCGAACAATCAGCGGTGGACTGTATTTCTGTTGAGTAAATGGGTCACCCTACCAACAGTAGCTAAGTCATCTGGGCAGTCCATACTGTTGTTGCCTGGTAAATCTTTCTGTTAGACATAATCAAGGACAATAATTATAAGAATTTGTCGTAATTGTAATAAGCCCCCACCGAAATCCCAAAATAAATAGATGACACATGTTAATTAATTGCACATTTATTTTTTCAAAAGTAGGAGGGTTGGATGGCTGAATGGTTAGCGTGCGCGCGCTGTATCATAAAGTCTGTCATTGAGTCGACTGGCGTGGTTTCGAATCCCCGGTTGTACGTGACAAGGAGTAGGGTCGCCTGTCCAACCTCGTGGGTTTTCTCCGGGTCCTCCGGTTTCCTCCCACTGCTAAAGACATTAAAATCTGATTAAGAATAACAACTAATTAAGTAATTATCAGAAAATCATTAGAATTTGTTTGGTTTTTATAAAGTTTTGACCCATGCTAACGTTTAGTATAGGAAACTTTTAATATCATGGATTTAGCTGTTCAAGTCATAAAGATTCATTGAAAATCATTATACTTGTTCGTCTCAAGACCTTAAACTCTGTGTATGAATCTGAAGTCAATCGGATGATAACTTTAGCTTCTAGAGGGTCAAAAGATTTTTCAAAGTGATCAAGGGCCATAACTTTGGCAATAATTATCGGAAATCGTTGAAAATCAATATGATTCTTCGTCTCATGACCTCAAACACTCTGTATCAATTTAAAGTCAATCGGATATTAACTTTAGCCTCTAGAGCATTTACAAGATTTTTTGAAGTAAATCGCTGAAAATGAATTAACTTCTTTGTCTCATAACCTTAAACACTGTGTATAAATTTGTGATCAAGGGCCATAACTCTGGCAGTAATTATCGATTATTGCTGAAAATGAATAGACGTCTTCGTCTCATGACCTTAAACACTGTGTATAAATTTAAAGTCAATGGGATATTAACTTTAGCCTCTAGAGTGTCCACAAGATTTTTCAAAGTAATCAAGGGCCATAACTCTGGCAGTAATTATCGGAAATCGCTTAAAATCAATAGGCTTCTTCGTCTCATGACCTTAAACGCTGTGTATAAATCGGATATTAACTTTGACCTCTAGAGTGTCCACAAGATTTTTTTAAGTGAACAAGGGCCATAAATCTGGAAGTAGTTATCGGAAATTGCTGAAAATCAATAGGATTCTTCTTCTCATTACCTTAAACACTGTGTATCAATTCAAAGTCAATCGGATATTAACTTTGACCTCTAGAGCGTCTACAAGATTTTTTGAAGTGATCAAGGCAGTAAGTATCGGAAATCGCTGAAAATCAATAGGCTTCTTCGTCTCATAACCTTAAACACTGTGTATAAATTTTTGAAGCAATCAAGGGCCATAACTCTGGCAGTAATTATCGGAAATTGCTGAAAATCAATAGGCTTTTTCGTCCCATGACCTTAAACACTGTGTATAAATTTAAAGTCAATCGGATATTAACTTTGACCTCTAGAGCGTCCACATGATTTTTTGAAGCCATCAAGGGCCATAACTCTGGCAGTAATTATCGGAAATCGCTGAAAATCAATAGGCTTCTTTGTCCCATGACCTTAAACACTGTGTTAAAATTTAAAGTTAATCGAATATTAACTTCGACCTCTAGAGCTTCCATAAGATTTTTTGAAGTGATCAAGGGCCATAACTCCGACAGTAATTATCGAAAATCACTGAAAATCAATAGGCTTCTTCATCTCATGACCTTAAACACTGTGTATAAATTTAAAGTCAATCATATATTAACTTTAGCCCCTAGAGCGTCCACAGACTGGGGCGACGACAATATACAACCACATTTCAATGTGGCGTATAAAAACTATACACCAAGTTTGTTCACTCTCACTTAATTAGAACTAAAGTTATTGTGTCCCAAAGTCTCGACTAAGGTTGCAAAGGGTGGGAAACTTTCCGGGAATTTTGGAAAGTTTCCAGGGAAACTTTCCAGGAATTTTCAGTGTTGGGAATTTACTGGAATTTCCTTTTCTCTTTTACTTTCATCTATTTAAACTATTAAAACTTATTTAACCATGTTAGTTGTGTTCCAAATGGTAAAACTAAAGAGATAAATTTATGTAAATTCTGCTCTCAAAGGTATACAAAAAAATGCCAGTGTTGGGAACTTTCAAATCTATTTTTACAACTGGAAAGTACTAAAATTATAATTAGTTTCTGGAATTTCCTATTTTCTCTTTCATTTTCATTTATATAAACTAAATGTCCAGCAATCCCCACTTACAAAAGCTGAAGAGAAGTCTGTACATGTACTTGGATTTTTACAGAAAAGAAAGCAATTTTGTCATAAGCCTATTCATGCCGCTGCCTATATGCTACATCCCAAGCATATGGATTCATTAGTTCCCTTGCGTCACACTACAAACTTAATGAAGGCAAAGTAATGGCTAGTTTGGCTAAATATTGGTCAAAAGATGGATTGTGGAAAGGAGAAAGCATTTGGGCATCATCAAAATATATTTCTGCCTCAACTTGGTGGAAGGGACTGTGTGCATCAGAAGCTGTTTCGAGAATATAGCTTCATTAATTCTTGCAATACCACCTTCATCAGCAGCATCAGAACGCATTTGGTCTCTGTTTGGTATCGATCATAAAAAAGTTAGAAACAGATTAACAAATGAATGTGTTGAAAAATTGGTCTGTATAAGATCTGAGAGAGAGAGAGAGAGAGAGAGATGGGGTTTAACGTCCACTCGACACAAACTAGGTCATTTCGGGACTAACATATGGTTTAATTTTATTTACATAATTCGCTTGCGCGTAGGGGTCTTTAGCAGTGGGAGGAAACCGGAGGACCCGGAGAAAACCCACGAGGTTGGACAGGCGACCCTACACCTTGCCACGTACAACCAGGGATTCGAAACCACGCAAGACAGACAGACTTATGATACAGCGCGCGCACGCTAACCATTCAGCCATCCACCCCCCCTGTATAAGATCTAATTTGAAACTCTTCGAAGCTGACAACGATCCTTCCAGCACAGAAATTTCAGATATTCATGAGGATTCATCTGAACCTGAAATCTCCCTTTTATCCACTGATGATGATGTAGATAATGATTTTAAAGATAATGATGAAATGGCAGAGTTACCTAACTTTGCGCATTAATTATAGAATGTGTAACCTGTGTATAAACAATTTAACAGAACTATCTCATTATTAGTTATTAGATTTTAGTATATATGACATATCAGATAATATGTTTTGTATCTTTTAGTTATTAAAATATTACTGTCACTTGCAACTCATTAATAGCAACACAGGTTTCAATTTATGACACCAAATTCAAAATTCCCAAAATTCCCGGGAAATTTACCCTGTTTGAAAATTTCTGGGAATTTTGCAACCCTAGTCTCGACCAATCAAATTGCTTATCTCTGCTTACCCTAAGCAAAAAATGCTCATTTTGAACTCCATCAAGGCATTGACCTAATAAACACCTACACCAAGTTTGAACATTCTAGCTCAATTAGAAGGAGAGTTATATTTGTTTCCCAAAAAGTGTGACAGACAGACAGACAGACAGACAGGGGAACCAATTTTAATAATCCCCTGCTTTCTTCGAAAGGCGGGGGACAACAAAGAACTAAATTCTTATCAGATGGTAACTTTCATTGCTGTTGTGTCCGCAAGATTCTACAGAGTGGACAATGACAATGATTCTAGCTCTAGCTGTTCGGGTGGAAATCGTTGAATATCCACCGATTAGCGAATAACTTTCGTCTTTAGGGTATGTCGGCTTTTTCAATTTACACATAAACACTGTGTATTAATTCTAAGTCAATCAGAAGATCACTTTAGCCTCTGTGAAGAGGGTGACAGACAGGATGATGACAATATATGGCCATATTTTCAATGTATAGAATTCAGACTAGAACTTTGACCTGTAGAGTGTTTACAAGAAAGTGCTGACAGGTCCCCGGGCATCACCACCACCCCTGGGGACAATAAAAATGTGTTGACCTCTTTAAGGTCTTGATAACAGGGGTAATAACTGGACTCAAAACTTCAAGAGAGATCATGCTTATATTTAGTTGATTCTAAATGTGTTATAGAATGATAACTATGTTTTGAATATTATCTACTCAGCAAATATCCTGAGACAAACTGCCATTCTTTCCATGTGAATTACTATAAATTTCCAGATTTATTAACAGTGTTCATGTGGTTTTGTTTTGAGAACAAGTAATTATAGTAATCCAAATATTAACTGTCTTAAAAGATGACATAAAGTTCAGCATTATACATTCCTGCCATAATATATTTCCCTGATGTCTATAATAATTATATAGTTTCTATGGAAACATATATATCACAATTTGTTGCCTCTTTCGGGACTAATATTTCCATATGAAAAGATATACAGAGGTCATTTCTTAAAAGCTCAGGCCCACAAGTGTCAACTATGCTAGGCTTTTCACCATTCCTGATCCGACCAGAAAATTATTCATTTGTTTAAAAATTTAATCATGAGGGAAAAACCCAGGGAAAGAAAGTAGTGAGGTTGACAAGATCAAAGGCTGTATCACATGAAATACAGCTATATTTACAAAAAAACTTGCCCCACTTTTTCAACAGCTTCCTAACTGATTTCATTAATTTAATTTTGAAAGTTCTGATCAAATTGAAATAAACAACACCTCAGATATTATGGTCCTTTAATCTAAAGGGAACTTATTTGCATATCAACACAAAGCCCAAACTGTTACTTAATTTATGTGAATTTCACTGGGGACGTATAAAACATTGTTACGTACGTTCATTATTCCATGGAGATTTTAAAATTAATTCCTACTGTTTCCATCTCTTACTGTATATTATACTGTTTGTAATGTATCTCAAATTGATTATTACTGGATGATCAAGTTGGTTTTGTGATATCACCATGGAGATTTAAAGGTATATTTGCAGATCAAGATCAAAGATGATAAGATAGTATATTCTTTTTCTTTCGGCAAGAAAACAGGTGAAATCAGTATCAAGTCACAAATATAAAGGTCTTCAATTGGTGGCAATTATTTTGACTGCTAAGATAAATCTTTATTTCAACAGAGGAATTCTGTAACTTGAGTCAAGAAATGTCACTTTATTAGTTGATTAAAGGCAGAAGATTTCAATGCATATTTAGTCAAAAACTTGTTTGACTATACAATTACAAATTTTTTTTTTACGATTTAGTGTTTGCACTTTGTACATTGTCATGTCTTTGTATTAGTGTTAAATATCTAAATGAAGAAAAGGCATCAGACTTACCATTACACCAGTTGCTATGGCTATTCCTCGACCACAGTAGGTATTTGGTACAATATCACCATACCCAATAGACAAAAATGTGATGGCTATCATCCACATGGAGTTTAAAATATTGGCATGATTCTCATCATGATAACTGAAAGGAAATAAATAAATAAATACAGTTAGTTTAATAAATCAAATTATTTTCAGGTATACACACCTTTCCTCATACTCGTCAAGTAATATCTAAAATCTACAAAGTATTAAGGTACTTGGTTTAAACAATATTTTTTTCAATATAATTACAAATAATCATTCAACAGTACAGTTTAAAGGATACGACAACAAGCAAAATGCTTAAGAATATCACTTCCTGAATTTAGTTGCATCAAAGCCAGTACAGGTAATCTTCCTGTAAATCATTCTTTAAACTATATGGTAGACAGATAAAAATAGGGAAAAGATATCATCCCCCTTTATCTATATAGAAGAATGGTAAGGAATGGGAGGGATAAATTGTGAATACTAGATTCTTAGAATGTCATTGAATAATCAGTCAATATTTGTAAACAGGGGATGTTGTACCACTTTAATTTTATAACTGATTACATATTAAATGCTAATGTATGTCAAGGATAACATATACAAGTTTCAATTAAATTCACAAACTAATTTATTGCTCATTTTTGATATTGTTATTGGTAAAACTAGCACATTAAACCCCATTACATTTCATTTCAAGTATTAAAAACAGCATTCAATGTCACCACTAGTATCTAACTTGAACATGAGTAAAATGCAGAACAACAAAACAGTCATTCAGATGATTGAGTATGTTAACCTTACTATAATGTTAAAGTTCAACAAATGTATTTGAAATTAGATTAAACAAAGATTGTAGTATCACTGAAAACGCTTTCTATTTGAAATACAAGAAAGATAGGTTGCCAGGCAACGAAACATACGCCTATACCAACTAAGTCATCCGGGCAGTCAACAATGGTTGTCGCATATTTTTTCTTTTGTCAGTAATGAGAACATTTACAACACATATCAACTTTAGCCTTCAAAGTAAACTAGGTTATTTCGGGACTAACATATGGTTCAATTTTATTTCAATAATTCGCTTGCGCATAAGGGTCTTTAGCAGTGGTAGGAAACCAGAGGACCCGGAGAAAACCCACGAGATTGGACAGGCGACCCGACACCTTGTCACAACAACCGTGGAATCGAAACCACACCATTTTAATCAATGACAGACCTTATGATACAGCGCGCACGTGCTAACCATTCTGCCATCCAACCCCCCTATGAATGAATGAAATGAATTTTTAGCCTCTAGAGCAGTCAGTGGTTCTCAACCTTTTTTGCCAATAGCACACCTTGGAACACATGAAAAATTAGCGGCACACCTGGCTAAATATATATGATAATTATTTGAATTTTGCAAAATAAAAACATGGTAAGTCAGAAAGAATACAACCGTAGACAGAGACTAGTCATAGACACATAGAATGACTTAAAACTAAAATGAATTTTTAGCCTCTAGAGCAGTCAGTGGTTCTCAACCTTTTTTGCCAATAGCACACCTTGGAACACATGAAAAATTAGCGGCACACCTGGCTAAATATATATGAAAATTATTTGAATTTTGCAAAATAAAAACATGGTAAGTCAGAAAGAATACAACCGTAGACAGAGACTAGTCATAGACACATAGAATGACTTAAAACTAAAAAAAGAAAAACACAGCTATGAACTATCAGCAGACACCAGTGAATACTCAGTTGGGATCACATGGTTTTTCACATTTTCTTAGTGTGTCGTTCACAATTTCGCGGCACACTGGTTGAGAATCACTGCTCTAGAGTGTCCACAAGATATTTCAAAGTGATCAAGTGCAATAACTCTGGTAGTAACTATCAGAAATCGCTGAAAATCAATAGGATTCTTCGTCTCATGATCTTAAACACAGTGTATAAATGTAAATTTACAGTCAATCGGATATTAACTTTAGTCTCTAGAGTATCCACAAGATTTTTCAAAGTGTTCGAGGGCCATAACTCTGGTAGTAATTATCGGAAATCTCTGAAAATCAATAGCCTTTTTCATCTCATGACCTTAAACACTGTGTATAAATTTAAAGGCAACTGGATATTAACTATAGCCTCTTGATCGTCCACAAGCAATTTAAAGTCAATCGGATGTTAACTTTAGCCTCTAGAGCTTCAACAATATATTTCAGTGAGATTAAGGGCAATAACTCTGGTAGTAACTATCAGAATTCGCTGAAAATCAATAGTATTTTTTGTCTCATGACCTTAAACACAGTGTATAAAAATAAATTTACAGTCAATCGGATATTAACTTTAGCCTCTAGAGCATCCACAAGATTTTTCAAAGTGTTCAAGGGCCATAACTCTGGTAGTAATTATCGGAAATCGCTGAAAATCAATAGCCTTTTTCATCTCATGACCTTAAACACTGTGTATAAATTTAAAGTGAACTGGATATTAACTATAGCCTATAGAGCATCCAAGAGCAATTGTGGACGCTGGACCGGCGGACGGGGGGCAACAACAATATATGACCACATTTCAATGTGGGCATGTAGAAATGAACATCAATGGAACACTGCCTCAAGGTAACATGGATGGCACGATTCATTACATGTCTGATGTGGAGCAAATTTATTTGTAATTAAAAGCTAATTGAATACTTGTATAAGAAAAGAGATGTTTATACATGTCAACTGAAGTGATATATTGGTCTATGTTACTTTACACATTATTTTCTCTCATTTTAGAAACATTTCAAGACCTCATTAACATTAGTCTTGACGCATTTTCTGTGTATATAATGAACATCTTTCCTTAAATACAGAATCCTTTAAATTGGTTTGTAGAACGAAGCACTAGAAAATATCTGGCAACATAAATAAAAGGAGTAGAAGAACTTCTGATTATTGTCTGATTTCCTGGATCATGTTTTAGAGACATTTTACAGACTTCACTTCAAGCAAAATATTTTCATCACCATTAAATAATTACTGTCTGTTCCAGGTGATACTGCGACTCGAAAATTGCTTGCCATTTCTTCATTTTTTAATTAAAATGACTAAAACTTTGTGACATACCTGGAATTTTCATCCCTTTGATTTCTTCCCTTAGCCTAAATGACTAAACGTCCGATAAAATCCAGTATTGTGACTACACGTGCATTAAATGGAACACTTGCATATCACATTAGAGTAGACGGGTACTTTACAAATTTGGTGCATTCAGTTAGAAATGTCTAGTGAATGAGAATTCACCTGTTTGTTTCGCGACAATAATACATATTAGGGTTTCACATTTTGAAACTTGTTCGAAACAATATTGTTTTTGTTCGGATTGATGTGGTTTTTTTTTCTGTTTCCACCCTGCTTATTTCCCACAAAAATGCTTATTACTTATTGAATAATTTGGAGTGACTTAAAGATTAAAACTATTTTGAAGAGTCGGCACATGTCAGAACCATGCGAACTCTCTGAAATAAGTAATTTGGTGTAAAAGGTTAGATCTTATTTAAATTTGAATAAATATATCGGGTAAAATGATTCAGAATTATAGCTCTGTAGGAGAGAAAAGAATGTGACATTTTTAGAAAAAAATTTAGTTTTCAAAAAATTTGCTTGAAACTTTGTGATAACATACATGTTCCTTGATCAGCTGTCAATACACATCAAACATAAATTTACTTGAATTATCTTCCGTCCTAGAACTAAGTTTTAAAATATAAACTTGGTAATAATTATCTGACTGACCCAGAATTAACGGTTTTGTTACCTTTTCGGAACAGTGGGACAAACAACCGTGCTCTGGAATCCAGTAAATAACTGTTTCAAAAGAGTTATATTCTACTGGACCAAAGCAACCACCTACACATCCAAGTAGGGCGAAACGACTGAAAGACAACCCAGCACCCCTTGTCCACTTAGGCTCTTTCAGATAACTAGGCCAAACATGGCTCTTTTCAGTACCAAGATGTCAACAAACCTCAAATTTTCAAGGGAGAAAAGCTATATAGCTTGATCTGAACTTAGTTCTCACAAGACAGAAAGCAATGGGATGACCACCATTCCAGGTTTTAGCCATTTTAATTAAAACTTGAAGAAATGGCAAGCAATTTTCGAGTCGTAGTATCACCTGGAACAGACAGTAGACATTAAATTGGCCTATTTTTATTTTTCATTACACATATGATGGCTTCTTTATATTTAAACAGATTTGTTTTCATCTGAAAACACTAGCATGTTAGGCAATGAAACATATACCCACAACAGCTATGTCAACTGAGCAGTCCACAAAGGTTGTTGCATATTTATTCTTTTGTAGGTAATGCAGGCATTTAGAGAACACTGAGGAAACTATAGAAAATTTAATTCAGACGATTTTGTAAACATTAGAAAGCCTTGGCATTATCCTAAAGGCCAAGTCAATTATACAGACACACTTTCTATTATGTTTCATGTTGATGAAATGTAATGGGGTTTAACTACCGACTGAGCTAATGAGGGAAATTTTGCCCAGAAAGCTGTACTACAGCCCACTCTAATATCGAATTCCAACTGCCAAGGGATCTTTTACGTGCATGCCAATGTGTACACAGGACCTCCGTTTTTCGTCCCATCCAAACGGTTAGACAGCTGCCTTTGTCAGGCCCACCGTCTTGCACCACCGACATGGGAAAACCATGCCCGAAAATCCAGATGAATTTTCTCAGCCAACACCGGGATCGATCCTGCGACCTTCAGTCTAGCAAGGCAGCATCTCACACATTTAGCAACTTTGGCTCCATGTTTAAAGTTGGTCAAATTATTTATTATATACTCATTAATGGTCAGAAATAAAATGAAAAATATTTATCTCCATTATGAGGTAATTTTTTCAAGCTATAAAATTGTTCATAAATACAATTAATAACAATATTTTAAATAATAAGAAACCTAATGTTGTCCATCCAAATAATTAGTAAAATCTATACCAGTATATTTGTTAATTCAAAATGATTTTGATTTGTATTTCTTTCAGGAGATTTATGATTAGTAATATTAATATTACTACTATACAATGGGAAATCGATCATGTGACATGTGATGCTTCCTGTAATTTC